TGAAGGGAATAAAATTCACATTTGAAACCGAAAATGAGCAAGGAGAATTAGCTATGTTAGATTGTAAAATAAAACGAATAGAAGAAGGCAAACTACAAACTAGTGTTTATAGAAAACCAACGCATTCTAATAGATATTTAGACTTTAATTCATCTCATCCTGTAACTGTTAAGGCAGGCTTAGTTAAATGTTTAACAAACCGAGCAATGGCACTAAGTAGCACAAAAAAAGACCTTAATGATGAAATAAAACAGATAGAAGAGGCGTTGGTTTTAAATAACTATCCTCTAAAATTCATTAGGAAGATTGAAAAACGCCAAAAGAAAAATAAAAAGAATTGTGAAACTAGTAGTAATAAAATAAATAAGAGAGAATATAAGTCATCTACAGTTATACCATATAAAGAAGGGACATCTGAGACCCTACGTAGGATTCTAAATAAAGCAGGAATTAGGGTGGCATTGAAACCTACAAACTCACTCAGGGACAAGCTCTGTAGGTTAAAGGACCCAGTGGACCCAATTAGACAAAATAATATAATTTACAAAATACCCTGCAATGACTGTGAGGTCAACTACATAGGTCAAACTAGTAGGTCAGGGGTAGTCAGATTGTCAGAACATAAGAATTTAGCTAAGATAAGAATGGTTGACCCAGAGAAGATAAGTAATTTAGAAAAAAGCTCGGCAATCGCAATGCATGCATTAACACACAACCACACAATAGGGTGGGAGAGGGTTAAAATTCTAAAAAGTAATCTAGGTAGGTGGAGAGAGAGGTTGATTACTGAATCTTTGTTCATCGAATCTACACCCAACACATGCAACAGAAGTGACTCAATGCAAATACCAGAAATATGGAAGATATTGTTGCCGCCAGTCAAATCAGAAGAAGATGATAAATAGTCTTAAAATTCTATTTCCATTCAAGCACATCATAACATTCTAACAATCAACTTATTATGATTATAAAAACACTCGTCGTATTTCCCATCTAATTGCAATGGATTAATAACACTCGTATTATTGCCACCAGTCAAATCAGAAGAGGATAATAAATAATCTATTTCCATTCAAACACATTCTAACCATCAACTTATTATGATTATAAAAACACTCGTCGTGTTTCCCATCTAATTGCAATGGATTAATAACACTCGTACTATTATTTCTGAATGTACATTATCTCATATTGAATTTTAATCCAATATCTAGTCGATTCCACACATGTATATAAATGAAGGAAAGAAGTTGTGTGAGTAACTTGATATGATTATGAGCAATAGTTTGTGCTCGAAACGTCATCAGTAAATATTACTGTATAACACTGTGAGACTCTATCAAAATAAAAATTTACCCATAATGGAATTACACTCTACCACAGTGCCCAAGTTTTATTCTTATATCAATTTAACGAAACGTGTTCAACGGTTTTAGGAAGAAAGAAGAAACAAGACAAGGAATGGCTCTCAACGGACACTTGGAAGCTAATAGAGGGAAGGAGAATGGTGCGAGAGAAAATGACTCAATCCTAAGATGGACTAGAGAAAGAGATGCTAAGCTCAACTTACACAGCACTGGACAAAGAAGTGAAGAAGAGTGCCAGGAAGGACAAAAGACAATTCTACGACAACCTGGCCACTGAAGGTGATTATGAGCAATAATTTGTGCTCGAAACGTCATCAGTTAATATTACTGTGTAACAATGTGTGATTTATCAAAATAAAATCTTATCCATAATGGAGTTACACTCTACCACAATTCCCAAGTTTTAGACTTATATCAATTTGGAAACTACTCGAGTACTACGGCGTACTCGAAATATTCATCAACCTTATTCAACAGCTGTACGACAACGGCACATGTCAAGTGATCCACAACGGAAAACTCAGCAAGGCGTTTGGCGTAAACACAGGAGTCAGACAAGGGTACTTATTATCACCAATGATATTCCTAATTGTGGTGGACTGGATTATGCGTCAGACAGTGGGAAACGAGAAGACAGGGATATCCTGGACCGACGTGAAGAATCTAGAAGACCTGGATTTCGCAGATGATTTATGTTTGATGTCACACAAAATCGAAGACTTACAAGCGAAAACCGACAAACTGGTCGAAGAAGCAGCAAAGACAGGACTCCAGGTGAACATAGACAAGACGGAGGTTATGAAGATAACCAACCAACAACAACAGCAGCAACATCCAGCGCCAATCACCATCAACGGGAGGGATTTGAAAGAGGTTACTTCATTCACTTATCCAGGGAGAATTGTCTCAACTACAGAAGGAACGGACGAGGATGTCAAATCGAGAATCAGGAGGGCGAGAAACACATTCATCAACCTGAAACCAATCTGGAAATCTTCGTCACTCAGCATCAACAACAAAATTCGGATTTTCAATACAAACGTCAGGTCAGTTCTTCTATACGGATCAGAAACTTGGCGGGTCACAAAGAATATTTTCAACAGGTTGCAGACCTTTATCAACGACTATCTTCCTTCTATACTGAAGATTAGATGGCCGGAAAGAATCACCAACAAGAAACTATGGGAAGAAACAAAACAAGAACCAATCGCCCAACAAATATGCAGGAGAAAGTGGAAATGGGTTGAACACTCGATGAGGAGGCCGTTGGGTGACATCGCGCGTCAGGCCCTCGAGTGGAACCCGAAAGGTAAGCGGCGAGTGGGACGTCCAAGGGTGACATGGAGGAGATCGTGTGAAGAAGAGTTGAAACAGTATGGACTAAAATGGATGCAAGTGAAAAGTACAGCAGAGGACAAAAGCAAGCGGAGACGTGTAGTTGAAGCCCTATGTTCCACTAGGAACCCGAGGGAACAATAATAATAATAATAATAATTACCATGTCTTTCGTCTTCTACCGTTACAGCAGAACACAACCGACAACAAACCACTTGTTATGTATTCATTGAGTTCTACCTATATTAAGTGCCAATTTTTAAGACAGATTGTCGCCTAGTATGGGTTTACTACTGACAAATTGTCTTCATTTCTTATTCTACTTAACTTTTAAATACTTTTCTTTTATAACTTACCTCTACATACATAATTTACGGTAGTTCCCATTCCTGTATGAGTCAGTGATACAAGTTTTTTTTCATTTCATTCTTTTGCATTCTCAGTGAAACACAAAGCTTCAAGTCTCGAAGTTTCAGTAGCGGTGGTGCTTCTAACCTCACATCCAACCTTCGCTTTTCCTGGGCTTATCATCAGATAGCGGACTGGTGGAGGTTTAGTGGTGCGTTGACTGGGAATCGAACCTGGCCTACCACCTGCGTGGCTGGTTAGCATTCTACCATTGAACTATTAACACAAGTTAAATGTAATTTGCCATTAATCAATTGTTTTTAAACACAGAGGTTTCACAAATGCATATGCGTTGATTCCCTTTTATTATTCTCCATCACAGACTTTACAGGGGTTGAGAGTTTCCATTACTTGTAATTCGAAATGAAGGCAGTCCGACTAATTGCAGTAGAAGAATCAGATGATAATAAAGCAACTAGAACAATTTCCTCTTGGTTCTTCTTCAGTGACTGCATGATACACGTTGATGAAAGGAACGTTTTGCAAATTAATAGTAAAAATTCACATTGAGAGTAATACTTTGAACTGTTTCCGGCATATTCACCATCATTTGCTTTACATGGAGTAATACTTGAGAGAACACCGATCAGTTTCAATTTTCACACTCAGTTCTAAATAGTGTTTAAGGACTTATTGGTAAAAATATTTAGAACGGATAGCTTAATATTCCATAAGTTAAACATATTGATTGACCAAATAAAATTAATGAGGACCATTTTACCTATTATTTGGTAATGATTGAGTTCTGCCGGTTGGATATGCAGTACAACAGCGACTCTGGGAAAAATATATCTACTATGCTGAAGTTGCAATTAATGTTTCATGGCCGAAAGTGTCTGTATGGCTCATTGCCTCTGATTAATTCCATACTAATTCACATAACTGGTAAAGCTGACAGTGATACAGTATAATTTACTGGGTCGTGTTCTGGAAAGATACCATCGTTCAAGGTTACGATAGAACCACATGTATATAGGTTAAATTTGACCATGTTAGAATTCCCTTTTCCTTTGAAAATAATCATAATGGTTTTATGGCATATTATTGCAAAGTCCACGATGTGCCTTCAAGGTTGCTGCTTACATATCGATAAAACGAAATTAAAGATGTCAGAATTAGCTGTTGAGATGATTATAACATCGCTCTACTGACACATTACAAAATCACATAGGACTATCTTGCTGATGATTTTGTTTTCGTAATTTATCGTTTGTGTTTCATGAATCCAAGTATGCGAAAACAAGGCGGTGTCAAATTTGTTTTGATGACAACTTATATACTAACTCAAGAATTCAAATATCTTATTCGTATTGGAAACGCACGTATTGATATCGAAGTTTATATTGCATATTCCGCGAAATTCATTTGTTTATGTTTGTATCAACACATGAATATCAAATCCCTACAAACCAATACTTGAACATTAATATTCTTAGTATTATGTAACTTTGTGGCTATTCTAGTGTTCAGACGTATTCTACATATATACATATATATATAAGCTTTATATTAGCGAGTAAATTCCATCTTGTATAAAAATCAGTTCGTGTATAGTACAAACTTTATTAGGTAATGTATGCCATTACTAAAAATACACGCATTTGTATGTTTCTATGCGTAAAAGTTGCACAGAAATTTTCAGCATATCTGTGTCAATTTACTTGACATAATCTGTACATAGTTTCCTATAATGAATTCATCTGAAGCGAATATTTCAAGTCATTTTACAGTTTTGTGAGAGATAAAGGTGACCTAGCGAAAAAATAAACAAAGACAACACGGGAAACATAATCACAGAGTAAATGAAGGAAAAAGTAAAGGAATGAAAAATCTAAATGAATTGTGAACTTCATTCTGTATCAACGAAGATTCAGTGGAAAACACTGTTATTTATGAAGTATATTGTAGACTCGTTGATAATGTTGTGTCATCATCACTAGATACACTAAATCCTTTAGCTGTATCATGATCAGTAATTCTACCAAAGTACACCAATTTATTTGGAGGGTACACATAAGGTAGAATTTGTTTTCTTGAGTACTGATCTCTTCTATCAACTGGTGTTTGAATAATATTATTCATAATGTTGACAGCCTGATTGTATAAGGACTTGACAGACTGAGTGGTTAATGATATAGGCGTTTTATTTTCTGCGTCTACAAATGTTTTTATTGGGAACTGTGGTGGTGTAATCTTTGGTACTTCTATATGAAGTACTTTGTGTGTCAATAAATCATCGTATTCATCAGAATTGTAAGTTAAATATCTTGTTCTTTGTGAAATGTGATTCATCTTATAATGTCCATCGTCACCAATCTTACTACGTCTATCATACTTATCCGATTTTAATTCTCGTTTATCAGTCAAATAATCAGCATACTTTTCAGTTTCTTTAGCTAACAATAATTTTGCTTGTTTATAATGCGTTGGATGATTGAAACAGTAGTATGTGTGACCAAATAATTTTTCACGCCGTTTATCACGTCTTTTAGCAGCAGAGATATCATATACAAGGAGGTATTCTTTATCATGACAAAAATGTTTTGAATTAATATTACGAAAGTGATTTTCCACCTGAACTTGATATGTTCGTTTATCAAAATATTCAGTGCAATGTTTTTTATACTGATCAAATTTAGAAGGGAAGCCTAATTCTAGTTGAATTTTAACATGTGTTATAGGTATATTCCATTGTAACTGACGATAATTTGAGTGATGTAAATTATCAATATAAAATACACTAGATTTAGAGGATAATCTACTTGGGAGTTCCTCAGATACTATCGGTTTATGTAACATTTAAATGACTTGTTTTCACTAATACTTCCCAAATGGTGGGCTAAACTGATAGGCTAATGAACACAAACTTATCAAGGTCAGGAATAACTAATTTCTTTTATCAGGTTAAGTAGTAGATTTTTATTGGATTTTTAAACGTAATTTATTGACTTTTTATGTGCTTAGTCGTGAGATATTTCTTCAACTAATTACTGTTAGATTTTTATTCTACCTATTATACTGATTTGCCTTATTTTTTTTCACAGATGATATTTATTTTTGTGCTACAAATGCGCTCATTGATACAGAAGTTGATTTATGACATTCATTCTGAAATCGAATAACTAAGGGTTTAGATTGTCCTTAGTGAAGAACATAGTTCAGTTCCTGAAAATCTTTTCTACTTAGGTTTTATTTCTATTACCTGAGTCGGTTTTATATTCTTATCACTTTTCGATTAACAAATGAAGTCTATTGCACTGTATTATTTAGAGATCAACCCAGATGATGAAACCAATAAAAGATGCTCAAGGGAACCTGATTGCCAATGAGGAGCGGCACACAAATAAAACAATGGGCTGATCACTTTTAAGGACTCTTGAATCGACCATTACTTGCAACTCGCCCAGAAATACTACCAACAGCATGCACAGAACTGCCTGTCAGTAAACACCAATCCTCCAAGGAGAGCAGAAATCCTCAATGCGATCAAGCTACTGAAGTCCGGGAAGGCAGCAGGACCAGACGGAATTCCTCCCGAAGCACTGAAGACGGCCTCAGAGATTACTGGGGATGTCCTCACTCCATTACTACAAGAAGTTTGGAAAGATGCCTACTGATTGGAAGAAGGACTATCTCGTCAAACTGCCAAAGAAGGGAAACCTAGTTAGGCCTTTGCAAGAACTGACGTGGAATAATGCTCTTGTCCACTCACGCCAAGTAAAATACTAATTCGTATCATCCTGGGGAGAATAAAGGATGTACTGGATACAGAACTCCACCAACCAGAAAAAGCTGAATTCAGGGAAGGCAAATCGCGTGCTGATCAAATTGCAACTCTACGCATCGTCATCACAGAATAAAGCATGGAATGGCAGTCAAAACTCACTCCACCTCAACTTCGAAAAGACATTCGACAGCGTTGGCCGAGAAGTAATTTGGAAACTACTTCAACCTCATTCAACAGCAATATGACAGTGCCACGCTTCAGGTGATCCACAACGGAAATCTCAGCGAGGCGTTCGAAGTGCATACATGAGTAGGACAGAACTGCCTATTATAACCGATGATATTAATAATAATGGTGGACTGGATAATACGTCAGACTGTGAGGAGCGAGGAGACAGGAGTACGCTGGACCACCGATGAGAAGACTATAGAAGATCTGGATTTCGCCTATGATACATGTCCAATATCACACAAACTCGAAGACTTGTAGGCGAAAACCAACAAACTGGCAGAAGATGCGAGCAGGTGGCGAAGGCAGGACTGCAGGTGAACATAGAGAAGACGAAGGTGATGAGGATAAGCAACTAACCAACAGCGACAGCAACAACAACCAGCACCAATCACCATCAACGAGAGAGATTTAACAGAGGTTACTTCTATCACTTATCTAGGAAGCATCGTTTCAACTACAGGTGGAACAGATGAAGATGTCAAGGCTTGTGAGAATCGGAAAGGCAAGACACGCCTTCATCAACCTGAAACCAATTTGGAAATCTTCTGCACTCCACCTCAGCATAAATAACAAGATTCGGATTTTCAATGCAAATGTGAACTCAGTCCTTCTATACGGGTCAGAAACTTGCGCTGTGTGTCGCGAAAAGCATTTCCAACAGGTTGCAGACTTTCACCAACAGCTGCCTTCGCTGCCTCCATACAGAAGATCAAACGGCCGGCCAGAAAGAATAAGCAGCAAGAAACTGTGGCTGGGAACAAATAACTAAGAGTCGATTGCTCAAGAAATATGTAGGAGCAAATGGAGGTGGATCGGGTATACATTGAGGAGGCCGCCGAATGACATCGCACGCAATGCAGAACATCACTTGAGTGGAATCCACATGGGAAGCGACTAGTGGATCATCCTAGGGTGACATGGGGGAGATCGTGTGAGGAAGCGGTAAGAGAGTTTGGTCAATTGTGGACTCAGCTGAAGAGGATGGCAGAAGATAGAAGAAAGTGGAGGCGTGTTGTTGAATGTCTATGTTCCACTCGGAACCCAGGGGGAAAATAATAATAATAATAATACGCCAACACTGGAATACATCCCTTCATACTGCACCTCACTTGAAGATGTAAATTTAATCACAAGGAGCATAAAATTTATTTTCAAGGCTTCCAGCCAACTAGCTTTAATATCAAGTGGCAAAATTAGAATGTACTGTAGTGAATCAGAAGATTATATACTTTTATGAACTAACTTGATTACAAAATTGATCAGGATGAATTGAGTGTACGTGCTACAATGATAGGAAGCCACTAGCCACTCAGGTCATTAGGGTTCGATTACTGGTAGACTCATTCCTTAACTCTGCCCAGTTTGCTGACCACTTGTAATCCTAGATAAGAAAAAGGGTTGAGCATGAGTTAGTAACCAAATCCCGTGTAAGCAACACCACCGCTACTGCAACCTCAACACTTTATGTTTCAATTAGAGTGTAAGGAATGAAAGAACATAGCTAAATTGATTACAGCAGGATAACTTAACCAAAAACTTTATGATTAAGATGAATCGCATATTGTTATTAACATGTGACCTTTATGAGCAAATGTATCTCTAATCTGTCATGCTTAATCTAAATCCCCAGTTAACGATATCTTATCATACAGACGCTAGAAAATGACTTACAGTTATTCCTCCAAACACATATACCATTGTATACGGCATATACACATTAATTTTTAAGATTCATTTATATATGACCATGAACTTTAGTCGAACGTAATCACTAAAAATTTGATGGAATAGTACACACTGTTTAACAAAAGTAGACTAATATTTGGAATTCTGAGGTCAAATCTTCATCACAGTTTTGATTTATGTTTATGACTCATATTATTGGACAAGGTTTTCAAAGGAAAAGATGTATCCTTTGTTATTCTAATTTCGTTTAATTTCCCTAAAGAAGTTCGGACTAGTTTGTCGAACGAAACACCGGAATTACTTATTTCAATTTCGCTGATATTTTTTAACTTTAATTTTGGCATATGCCTACATCGCAGTCGGCGCCCAATTATTTGGGAACTATTCAGTCAAATCTTGATCACAGTTCACATGAATGTTTATTGCTTCCCAGTGTCTGCTTTAAACTGATCAACTTAATGTACACCTACGGTTTCATCTGATAACCAAAAGACAGACAGTTAAATTATGTAAATACACAATGAATCCTAATCATCATAAAGAATCTCTACTACAATATCGTAGGCTAGAATCTGTAAACAGAGAAAGATATTGTATCTAAGTGTGTCTCCTTTTCATAATCATAAGTAAAGATTTCATTACGTCCTCGGTCATCAATTACCTCCGGAATGCTATTCGATGAAGTCCTTAATTACGCAAATTTGTCACCAAAGACAACAAAAAAGGTTTAGCATTCATGCCTAATCGACAAAACTGAATACACCAACAAGTTTGCCAAAAATAGGAACTTTAGATGAAGCCACTTAGGCGCGTACAACTTGTTGATAATTAATACAGCTAACTTTAATATATTATATGATGAAAACAAATTATTCATCTCTTTCTGTCTGTTGTAAACAAGACTTAATTGCCAACGTCGTAGTCACATTAATTATTATTATTATTTGGTTACAGGATTTTCATCATGAGCTGACATTAGTTAGAGAACCATTGGAAAACCTGGGAGTAATGGACAGCTGTTTCGTTTTAGTTTGGGACTCTTCATCAGTACGCACCCACCGGGATTCGAACCCAGGACCTTCTGGTTACAAGGCGAGCTCGTATACCATTGAGACACTGGGACCCGATTCAATGGCCCATGAATTCTAACTTCTGCCAATTCACGACATAGCGCGCCCCCTAGCCAATGTCTTCGGCGAGTATTTGTCCTCACACCCGAACTGCTGCACCCTACTTGTCACGACTTCTCACTAGAACCCCAGGTAACTACCTACCTGAATAGGGCAAGTCGCTAGTTAGCATCTCATTGGTATTCAAGTGTTGGTTTGTAGGGATTTGATTGGTTATTATTATTTGTTTATTATTATTATTTGTTTCTTCAGTTTCGAGTGGAACATAGGGTTTCAGAAGAACAATTCCACTTTCCATCCCCTGCCGTCATTTTCACCCAGCCCCACAACTGACCACGAGCTTTATTTCCTCCTCAAATGACCTTCTGCATGCCGTCTCCCGATACTTAACCCATCGCTTCTAGCTTCAGTTAAGAGCCTGCAGCTTACTATCAACTGAAGCACTCCTTGGCGTATTTTCGATCCCTCTCTACTTTCTTCTCTATATTTAATGGGTAATAGGCTCTTGGTAGGTCTGCAACCGGAGTGTGGAGTACTCAACAATATGATTGTACACCTTTTGTTAGTTGTTGAAATTAAAGACATTGTACACGATTTTTGTTTACAACGACTCATGTTTAAACATATGTGATTTCCGAACACATTTCGAAATACAATATATGCTGTTGGTGGTTTCGCCTTCTCACTGGCCGTTCCTGTCTACTTGCTCAACTCACAACGTGTTGTATACTTTGGATTTATTGCAGGAATCTATTATCCTTATCCAAAGACAACTCTACAACCGGCGCACAACTCCTACCAGTGGACACAATTCCAACAGTGAACACTTCTGTGGATTATATTAATAATTTGCAGCAGTGGACTTTAACAAGATATCCAAGTAACCTTTTTATTAACATAACTTATTACTGCATTTTTGATAAGATATTGTTACACTATCATCTCATTGACTTGCATTTTTATTCGCATATTTATCATGTTATTGAGTTCTGTAGACAGTCCCCTACAAATTAATTGGTGAGCCCGTTTTGAATACGGATTATTTTCACGTATCCATAAACTTATTTTTGCTATTTTGTACTTTCATTGCAATTTTTTGTTGATAGTCTCATATTTGTATCCCCCTTTGTACCAATATTCTCATATCTATAATGTCGTCACCTACTCAGCCCGGTACACGAACCGAACAGAGAACTGGCAGTGAGGCACAGGCCACAATAATCGCCATAACGGATTTTCGTTTACCACAATACGGCTTTGCAGAGCCACGAATTTGGTTTGGAGTTATCGAGTCGTTGTTGTGAGCATGGGGCATTAAGTTTCAGAGAGCCAAATATGGCGTCGTGCTGGCAGAACTCCCTACGTCAGTGTTAACAGATATCGGTGATTTCATCGAAAAAACCCTGACAGAAAACCAATACGACAAACTTAAAGCCCTTCTCATACAACGCACCAGTTTGTCAGACGAAAAAAGAATTCAACAACTACTTACGGGCTGCGAGCTAGGAACGCGTAAACCATCCCAGCTCCAGAGACACATGCGCCAGTTAATTGGACACCATAAAGTTGACGAGGTCGTGCTGAGACAGATGTGGTTGCAACATTTACCCAGAAACGTTCAACAAATTTTAACCATCTCAGGAAAGTCGTATGACTCAGACCCATTAGGCGACATGGCAGATAGTATTGTGGATATCTTATCAGATAACACCATAGATCTTATAGCATCTGGCAGCACCACACCGTGTCAGTTCACACCTACGACAGACACACCAATACTCGCCGCCATTGCAGACTTAGCAGCAAGGACTGACAAGTTGGAAACTAATAGGTCTGACCGACGAGTCCAGAGACGGAGTCCACAAGCAAGGTCACAGTTACGACGAAGATCTCTCTCCCGACAGCGTTCCCGCATGTCTTCTAGGGACAGTAATATATGTTGGTATCATAAGAAGTTCGGACGTCATGCCCAAGAATGTGTCAAATCATGCATCTTTAGTGAAGAAAATCAGGCTCAGGGAAACGTCTCAGCCAGACAGTGATGGCGACAGCTGTTACTGGCAAGCAAACAATTCACCTTTTCCACGTGAAGGACAAAACTTAAGACACCTTATTCCTGGTAGACACAGGGGCAGAAGTTAGCGTGATCCCCCCTTCACTATCCAGGCGATCTACTCGGACACCAGGAAAACTGTCTCTCCGGGCAGCCAACCACACAAGCATACAGACGTATGGGGAACAATCTCTTATAGTAGATCTAGGTTTACGACGTGGGTCATGCCATAGTCGGGGCTGATTTCTTAAGTAATTTCAATCTGTTAGTTGATGTCAACAATAAAAACTGATTGATAACAGTACCCAACTAAAAATTCATGGAATCATCTCCAATTACTCCGTCTATAATATCAGTATCGAGAGACCAGCGGATTGCATTTTTTCCGCCCTACTCCATCGTTTTCCTAAAATACTTAAACCGTCGAATAACACCGAGGACGTACCCCATACAGTCACTCACAAAAATGTTACCACGGGTCAACCGGTTCCAGCTCGTCCCCGTAGATTACCTCCTGACAAATTAGCAGCAGCCAAGGCAGAATTCGAACACATGATGCAGCTCGGCATCATCAGACCTTCCAATAGCCCTTAGTCTTCACCTTTACACATGGTGCCTAAAGATGAACATGACTGGAGGCCATATGGGGATTATCGACATTCAAACAACGCCACAGTTCCGGTGGTATAGCGGTTAGGACGCTCGCCGACCATGCACATGGTCCGGGGTTCGATCTCCTGCCGACGCACTCCTCTGCCTCGCTGAGACAGAAATAATGCTAGTAAAGAGGAAAGGTTGGGCATGAGGCTAGCAACCCCATCCTGTAAAATAAACACTGCTACAGAAACTTCAAGCCATTAGCTTGAAGCCCTATATTCCCCTGAGCAACGTGAAGAAAAAAAACAGTTCCGGGCCGGTATCCAATACTAGACCTACATGATTTCTCTCTGACATTACATGGAAAAACCATTTTTTCTAAAGTAGACTTGGTCAGAGCCTATCATCAAATACCAGTTGCCCCAGAAGATATCGAAAAACAGCCATCATCACACCTTTCGATTTGTTCGAATTTCTGCGCATGCCGTTTGGTCTAAAGAACGCCACACAATCCTTCCAACGTTTCGTGGATCAGGTCACACAAGGTTTAGACTTTGTATTTGTCTACATCGATGACTTCTTAATTGCTAGCTCGTCGGTTGAAGAACATACAGATCACCTCACCACCTTATTTCAACGATTTGAGCAATATGGCGTCGCCATTAACCTCAAAAAGTGCATATTCGGTGTCTCCTCTATACAGTTTCTAGAACACCACATAACCGAAAATTGTATTAAGCCTATGGAGGAAAAGATAGAGACCATCAAAAATTTCCCCGAACCAGATTCACTCACGAAGGTCAGACGTTTCTTGGGGATGTTTAACTTCTATCGACGTTTTATACCTTCATGTGCCCCCACTGTACAACCCCTAACCGATCTTCTCAAATGTGATCCAAAAAAATTTCAACTGTCAAACCAAGCGAAAGAAGCATTCGTTAACGCTAAAGAAGCGCTATCCAAGGTTGTCATGCTTTCCCACATCGACCGTAAGGCGTCCCTGATTTTGTGCACGGACGCCTCTCAAATTGCAATAGGAGCTGTACTCCAGCAGAAAATAAATGATGCAGTAACCCCTCTCGCTTTCTTTTCAAAGAAATTGGAGCCAGCACAGACGCGTTACAGTACGTTTGGCAGAGAGTTGTTAGCCATTTACCTAGCAATTAGACATTTCAGTTATTTGCTACAAGGTAGTCATTTCACAATATTTACCGATCACAAACCTCTGTGCTACGCTTTCACTACGTCACTCGATAGATACTCACCCAGAGAAGCTAGACAACTGGATTACATATCATAATTCTCGACAGACATCCAGTTTATCGAAGGAGATTCCAATATTGTAGCCGATTCTTTTTCTCGATGTGATGTTAATCAGCTTCTATCTTCGATAGACATTAGCTCAGACAATATCGTCAAGTTGCAGAAAAATGACGCCGAACTTCATACTTGTAGACGAAAGTCCTCCCTACAGTTGCAGGATATACCTATTCCTCTGTCTGATACAACTATCATCTGCGACGTTTCTACCGGCGTTCATCGACCTTTTGTTCCACAAAGTTGTCGAAAACCTTTATTTGAACATCTACATTCTCTGTGTCATCCTGCAGTACGTGCTACGGTTAAGTTAATCAGTGAGCGTTTCGTTTGGCCTAAAGTGAACTCCAATATTCGGAGATGGGCACGCCAATGCTTGCAATGTCAAACGTCCAAGATACATCATCACACCGTCACAACTACAAAGCAGTTCAACTTACCAGATAAACGATTTCAGCATGTGCATATAGATATCGTTGGACCATTACCATCATCCAGAGGTTTTACCCATATCCTTACAGCTATTGATCGACTCACTCAATGGGCTATTGCTTGTCCGCTCAACGACATATCTGCAGAAAATACCGCTTTGGTTTTCCTAGATCGTTGGGTGTCAAACTATGGAGTACCAACAACGATTACAACAGACCGAGTAGCTCAATTTCAATCAACTCTGTTTCGACAGCTTACGAGACTCCTTGGAGTGAACCACATCTCCACTACAGCTTATCATCCTGCGGCGAATGGTCTGGTGGAACGTTTCCATCGACAACTGAAAAGCTCTTTGATGCCACAAGCTGATTCATCTAAGTGGAGTGAACACCTACCATTAGTTCTCCTCAGTATCCCGTCAAGTATCAAAGAAGACTTGGGATGTATACCTGCTCATCTCGTGTATGGTACTACCCTCACATTACCTGGTCAGTTAGTTCCTTCTAACGATTCAACTGATGTAAATACCTCCGATTTTACCAGCCATCTTACTCAACAAATGCTTCAACTTCGACCAGTAGCCCCTCGCCAGTCATTTCAAAAAGCTCAAGTTAACAAGGATCTACTCACTTGCAAATTTGTATTTGTTCGCGTCGATGCCATTAGAAAAGGCTTACAACATCCATATGAAGGTTCTTTTTCCAGTACTCAAAGGCACTGATAAATACTTCACACTGAACTAAAATGGTAAGCAGGAAACTGTTTCTATTGACTGTCTGAAACCAGAGTACACTGACAGTGAATATGAAGCAATAGCAATGTCTGCACCGATAAATAATGAGAAAGTCAATGCAACTTCTACACTTCCGCTCTTCACACTTCCCCCTGTTCAGACACGCAGTGGTTGGCAGATCTGTAAACCTGCCGGCTATGTTCATTTCATTGACTGACATAACGAGTACGTTAACCTTATTTAGACATTCTTCTCAATATTATTGTTGTCGATATTCATTTCACTAAAACCACAAACATTTATTAATTTTATGATCACTACTTGTTTGTTAACTGCACTGCAAGCATATGAATTCACCAAGGATATATTATTATTATTATTGTATCCTTTAATTCTTACAGGAACATAGGGCTTCAGCCGTGCGTCTCCATTGCGTTCTGTTCTCTGCTAGAGTCTTCACCTGGCTCCAAGTTTGCCCACACATTTTCATCTCCTCTTCACATGACCTCCTCCAAGTCACCCTTGGACGACCAACTCACCGCTTCCCTTTCGGGTTCCACTCAAGGGCTTGTCTGGTGATGTCACTTGGTGGTTTCCTAAGAGTATGTCCAATCCATCTCCATTTCCTCCTGCCTATTTGTTTCACAATCGGTTCCTGGTTGGTTCGTTCCCAAAGATCCCTGTTGCTGATCTTTTCTGGCCGGCCATCTGATCTCGAGTATTGAGCGAAGGCAACTGTTAATGAAGGTCTGTAGTTTGTTTGAGATGCTCTTTATGACGCGCCAAGGATATATATATCTCCTTATATATGAATTTCTCAGATGCTAACGACCACGTCATTGTTTATTATGTGCATAAATTTTTATTTAGAATTATAACAAGTTTTGATTTCCTTTTATTCCTGAATCATGCTTGCATGTGCTAATCTTTATTTGACACGGATGTATTCCATACATTCTGATCTTACTTTGTACCCTTATTATTGTCAGTGTTATTTTTTTGTTACCATTACTGTTAACATTGTCATTTATTTATAATGCCTATATTCATGTAATCATTCACGATGACAGTACTGCTGGTCCTCCGGACCTCTAAGAGGGGGAGCCGTGTGGAGTACTCAACAATATGATTGTACACCTTTTGTTAGTTGTTGAAATTAAAGACATTGTACACGATTTTTGTTTACAACGACTCATGTTTAAACATATGTGATTTCCGAACACATTTCGAAATACAATATATGCTGTTGGTGGTTTCGCCTTCTCACTGGCCGTTCCTGTCTACTTGCTCAACTCACAACGCGTTGTATACTTTGGATTTATTGCAGGAATCTATTATCCTTATCCAAAGACAACTCTACAACCGGCGCACAACTCCTACCAGTGGACACAATTCCAACAGTGAACACTTCTGTGGATTATATTAATAATTTGCAGCAGTGGACTTTAACAAGATATCCAAGTAACCTTTTTATTAACATAACTTATTACTGCATTTTTGATAAGATATTGTTACACTATCATCTCATTGACTTGCATTTTTATTCGCATATTTATCATGTTATTGAGTTCTGTAGACAGTCCCTTACAGGAGTTCCTTATCTTTTCTGGTCAACCATATGATCCTCAGTGTCAAGAGGAACGAGCATGTGTTGATGGTAGTCTGAAGTGGCCAGTGGGGAATGATTTCCGTGGCGCATCAAGTCTCTGAACCATATAAAAGCATTGATGTGACAGTTTCTAGAATTTGGATCTTGTCCCTTATGCTGAGTGCAGTAGGTTGCATCAAGTACCCCAGAGTAATGGACGCTTATCATGATTGTTTGATTCTGCCTGGCTTTTATACCATCATTCATACATTTTCCTGTAGTTCAGATGACGATATCCAGGATATGAAGTGGAAGAGTTTAGTTCCTTTAGATTTCTCCCACTAACGGCAATTGTTATTTGTTGTTGTTGGTCCGGTATCCTCATCACCTATAGTTTCACCCGAAGTCAGGCCTTCTCTGCCTCTTTTGTCAACCTGTTAGTTCTCACTTGCATTTCTTACAGCTTATGAAACATGAGACATAACTTATCTGTGAAGTACAGTTATCTCACAGTCCTTTAGTCAGCTCAACTTAGGCTTGTTTTCTCACGACCCAGTGTCTGTCCCATGATCCAGTCCTCTAAAAACCAGGAAGATGACCTGTGATAATAGATATTCTCGTCTTACTTCTGTCTTCATTTAAAAGGCTTCGTTGAGCTTTCAATTGTGAATTATTTGGTATATATTATCATCAGTACAACTGTTGAGTGAAATTTATGTTTTTGCCACTCATGTACAACATGCCTCATAAAATTAAGATGTATGGTTATTCTTTACTTCATATTTGTCTTAGCTTTTACTAATGTATAATTAGTTTACCAATAACATCTGTCGCTGCACCTCTCATTAAATGAAAAGTGATACGTCATTTAGTCAGCGTCCATTTTGTTTCATTGTCATAACCTTGGCTTCTACGTACTGCAACAAAATTTCACCACGCCCATTTACCATCTGTTAAGTAAAACGATGCTGTACCTTTAGGACCCTATGTTTTAAGGCAGTAATGAGAATAGTTTGACAAAGAGTCAAGAGATGTCATGCATGGCGTCTGTACTGACTCTACAAAATGCTGCACTTAGTTACCATACCCTGCTTCTGATTACAATAAATATAAGACACTCGGATGCTGGTTACTCAACTACTTATAACACAATGAAATCATCTTTAGATCGAAACCATCAGTGAGATTCTTCCAGAAGACATACAGTTTTGGTCCCTAATCAATAATCAAGAGAAGAACAGAAAACACCAATTGTTGTCGCACTATAAATGTTGTTTTTGTTATTTTGTAGTACTCTCCATTACAAAATATAAATACATATGGTTATGGTTTAAGTCACCTTTGTGTGTGCACGTGACTGAGTGTATGAATGGATGAGAACCAACAACTTACTCATCTTTAGTTTGTTTGATATAAAGTTGCATATTTTCCAACTGGAAGAAAAATTCTTCTGAATGTATTTCATCAAGCCAGTTGGTATGTCGTTTTATTCAACAACTACCTAGGTAGCGTTTTTTTGCGAGTACTATTGTTTTTAGAGTTGTTAACTGTATTATGAACGCCAGTTTATCTGAAATTACTTAAGTTACTGACCTCATAAATTTTCGGTATTCTGCAGCGTTTCTTTGACTTAACACGTGATTGAATAATATTAACAACCATATTCGCAGCTTGCTCATACAGCTTTTTGACCGATGCATCATTCTTGTCGCTGACAGTATCTTTACTACTATGACCATAATTTGGATAACTGTCTGTAATTTCAGTGTCAACACGACTGTTATATTTCATAGTCTTCTTTAGAGTTTCACTAAGCAATGGAAATCTTTCAGACAGTGATAAAGATATCTCAGAATATCTGCTGTCATCCTCCGTTATAAATAATCTACTTTTTGGAGTTTTATTCTCCTCATACATACTATGTTCATTCATATACACTTTGTCATGAAGTGTAACTGACTTCTGTTTAGACTGACTATCCAGACTACTCCGTTTAACTCCTCTCCGTTCACAATGATAATCTTCATAACGATTAATTTCCTCTAATACATTTAATTTAATTTGTTCATAATGGGATGGATGATTAATGCAAAAATAACAAGCACCAAATACAGCTTTCTGTCGATTCGTCAGTTGTTTATGACCAAATCTATCATAATCCGGAATATATTCTTTAGTGTAGCAAAAGTGTTTAGCATCTAGATTACGGAAATATAACACATCACGTAAGGGAAGACACTTCTTATTCGGTGTCGGTGAACAGATGAGATGACCTTTACATGTTATGCCAAAATCATCCGTAATATCAAACTCATTCATATTTAAAGGAATATCCCATGATAAAGCACGATAGTTATTCCTCTTTAGATCTTCCTCATGATACGTACTTGATAAGGATGATCCGATGCTTGGTGGATAGATAGGATCAAATCGTGTACCAGTTAGACGTGGAATGTTTTGCATGACGATAGATAGTTATTGTAACAGCCGGATTGAAAGGCAGATAACACTAACTAATTTGAATAACTATTGATTTATATATATATATATATATATATATATAATATCACGCGTTTTTCAGTGTCCGATAAAGCTATTCCAAAGCGTAACGAATTTCGTCGAATAATAACTTGTTCTAAGATGGATGTAATAAAAGAGATTATTTGCAGATAATCATTACCTATCAGAAGACAATACTTACTTCTGATTCGTTAACGAACGAATGGTCACTTCTTCAGAAAATAAATATCCGTTCTTCAACATTAATTTTGATCACACTTAACAGTTGATTTGCAGAAAACGTTTATCAAGAATTAATGAATTGGTTAATTACTTGTTCTTGTTAGTATCGTTAATACTAAGATTAAAATTATAGAGCTGTCACAATTTCCTATCGAGGCCACAAAAAAATCCGTTTGAATCATTTATTTTATTCTGTGTGCTTCGTCGAAATGCAGCAACTTCTGCTCTAGTGAAATTCTATACGAAGTTTTACATTGACTGATCGCTCCTGTAATAAGTTTCATTAAATGATATCAATCAAGACAATTCGAAGATTACTTTGCACATATCAAAGTCTGTCGTTATGGTAGGCACACACGAGCTCATACTACTGTCATCATTTATCAGATTTTTTTCTAGTTTCAAATGCAATCTGATAATGAGGTTAAGACGACCTGTTGTTAACTTCTCAGAAGCTTGCGATTTGAGATTTAAAATGCCATTATAATTTCTAATGTGAAGATGGAAAACTCTTAATGACTATTGTTGAAGTGCTTTTGTTTCTGAGTGCCTACTGAATAAAATAAATATATAATGTTGTAGATATTCTGTTAGACTGAGGAAGTCATTTCGTAACTTGCATTCACAGACTCAAGGATTAAAACATGTTGCTATCCAATTACATTAGAATGTATCGTAATTTATGTTTCTCAGTGACCTACAGCCATATTTGATGTATATATATATATATATATATATATACATCAGTAAGGAATTAGAATACACAAGAAATACTCTGATTAAGAATAGATATCCAACCTCTTTCATCGATAAATATTTAAAAAGAGTCATACTCCACAATACCTGGATATACCGGAAAAAAAATCGTAAATCTAAAATTCAAAACGGAGGCATGTTTTTTGCCCAAACTTAACTCATTTTCTGGCTCACCGAAACGTAAAAGACAAGATCCCTCTGTTGGCAATTTTAATGTGTTTACCAGTTCACTTCCTCTTGTGGGGTGTCTAAAAGCGCCCATGAACATCTACCAACATATTTGTAGGAAAAAGAATGTAGAACAATCAGCTGCTTCATTCTGGAGTACACCATCACTTCTAGTTATGCTGTATCAACAGAAACTTTATTCAAAGCTATACACAAGGACCAAAGTCGATCAAAAGGATTTGCCTTCCATCTTCATGCAATCAAAGCTCTGGGCGTCCATAAGGAGAAACCTGAACTTTGTATTCAGGATCGTTTTATCCAGCCTCTTATAATATAATGGTCTTAGTGTCAATTTTATTCTCTTGATTTGTTGCACAATACACTATATGGCTTTTTGTGACCAACTTTCAAATCTTTTTGTCCTTGTTTCATATCAATCATTTCTACATAACTATTCATCACCCAACTAATTAGCTGTAAACATTCTCAATTACGTTTTTCACACACAGCTATTTCTCATACACTTTGATTTATTTTCATTACTAACTGTCAATAACCTTGATCACTACTCATATGATCATCATCATCATCAGTCCCTTGACTTTCGTCGTGGGGGTGCTATGACAGTTCGCGCTATCAGTCTTCGCCATTCTTCTCGGTTTAATGCTATTTTCTGTAGCGTATCCAAGGGCATTTCAGTCCACTCTTTTATGTTGTCAAGCCAGCTCTTATTCGGTCGACCTCTCTTTCGTGCTCCTCCTACTGTGCCCTGTAGAATCGTTTTGGACAATGTGTCATGTCTTACCGTGTGGCCGAACCATTGTAGTTTCCGTTTCTTTACGATTGAAAGGAGTGGTTCCTGTTTTCCTGCCAGTCTATGGACCTGGTGTAAGACATATTCATTAGTTTTCCTTTCAAGGTAACTTATTCCTAGGATCGTTCTATAGCTTTTGTTTTCGAAGGCTTGTATTCTTCTTTCTGTCTCTGCATTCAGGGTCCAGCTCTCACATCCATATAGGAATACAGAGAGGACCAGTGACGAGTAGAGTTTCATTTTTGCTGAGACGCTGATGTTGCTCTTCCATATTTTCCCTAACTTGGACATGGTGGCAGAGGCTAGGTTTAGTCGAATTTTTATTTCCTTAGTGGACCTTCCATCTTTTGTTAGGGTAGACCCAAGGTATTTGAAAGTTTCAACCTCTTCTAATACATGTCCATCAAGTCTGATACATCTATCTGAGTTGTTTCCTCCGTTAATGAGTATTTTGCTTTTTTCTGTGCTGATTTCCATGCCCACAGATTTGGTTGCAACATCAAGTCTTGAGGTGAGGTCCTGAACTTGATCAATGTTTTCCCCAATGAGGGCTATATCATCAGCAAATCTGAGGTTGGAAATTGGTCTTCCGTTTATGCTAAGTGTCGGTGTAAAGTCATGTAGGGTTTGTGTCATAATATGTTCGAGGAGTAAATTAAAGAGGACTGGTGAGAGAATGCACCCTTGGCGTACTCCTATAGTTGTTCTGAAGAACTCGCCAGTTTGATTATTTAGAGATACTGCACTACTAGATTTGTTATATAAAGACTTATTAACCTCAATTATGTTTTTATCTATATTGTAGTTATTCATGACTTGCCATAAGCCTTCGTGCCACACACGGTCAAAGGCCTTCTTAAAATCGATAAAGTTGTGTACTAGCATTTTTTGGTGTTGTAGACATTTTTCGTTTAGTACCCTTATGTTAAAAATTTGTTCAGCAGTGCTTCTGCCCGGCCTGTTCTTCTGAGAGTATTTCCTCTACTTTCTTTTTGAGTCTGTTCAATATTACCTTCAACATGACTTTATTTGGGTGGCTGATTAAACTTATTGTTCTGTAGTTCTCGCACTGCTTTGCGTCCCCTTTCTTAAATATTGGAATGATTAGTGACTGAGTCCATTCTTTTTCTTGCCAGATTTTTTGACAGGCTGCTTTCAGCCATTTAACTGTTTGTGGTCCACCATGTTTAATTAGTTCTGCCGGTATGTTGTCAATTCCTGGTGATTTATCTCCCTTAAGTGATTTTATTGCTTCCTCTACTTCTGACTCTAGTATGGGTGAATCACCGATCTCCCTATTGTCCCAGCATGAATTGTTTATTAGGCTATAATTAGGGCTTATTTTATGATTGTAGAGTCCCTTACAGTATTCTGTCCACCTTCTAAGGATATCTGCTTCTTCTGTTAAGAGGGTGCCTTTACCATCCTCAATTACGGTTGCTCTATTCAGTTTCGTATTGGTCAGCTTACTCAGTGTTTCGAATGCTTTTTTATTGTTGCCTCCCCTTAAGCTATTATCGATGATATTACATTGTTCAGTAATCCAGCCCTCTTTTGCTCTCTTCATTTTGGAGCGTATTTCTTTGTCTACTGTTCTATACTCTTCCCTGTACTGGGAATTAAGTCCTTTCTTCTTTTTTAGTTCTCTTCTTGTATCACACAGGTTTAAAATATCGTCTGTGACCCATGGTTTGATTTTCTTTCTTTTGTTACCCAGAACTTCTGTTGCTGATTCATGCAGCACTGTTTTAATGGTTTCAGTGAGTGAATCGATATTGTCGTGAATCAAGGTAAGTGCAGCGAACTTGCCCCCTACATTTGCCTTAAACATTTCTGCTATGTTTGGGTCCCTAAGTTTCTCTAGGTCATATCTGATTCGAGGGCTTATTTGTCTGCTGTTCTGTTTTAGTTTTAATTTTGTAGTCATTAAAACCATGTCATGATCGCTGCCTATGTCTGCTCCAGGAAAAGTTCTGGTTTTAGCCTTGTTAATGCTTGACTTGAATCTTGCTGGGAACAGAATGTAGTCTATCTGGCTATGTGTTTTGTTGTCAGGTGAGTGCCATGTTGTTTTCCTTGATGTCTTATGAGGGAATAGAGTGTTGGCCAGTGTGAGCTTGTGGCTGCTTGCAAATTCCAGCAGTCTTATTCCTCTCTCATCGGTTTCACCTAATCCAAAACGTCCAGCTGTGCCTGCCCATTGGTCATATGCATCTTCACCTACCTTAGCATTCCAGTCACCCATGACAATAAGAATGTCTTTTTTCGGAGCCTCATTAATACACTCCTCTAGTTCATCATAGAAGCATTCTACCTCCTCGTCCTGGTATTCAGATGTAGGCGCATAAACTTGTATTATTGTTATGTTAAGTGGTTGAGCCCTAACTCGTAGAGAAATGATTCTATTGTTTACGGGTCTACAGCTTATTACAGAGTTAACTTGTTTTTTGTTTACCATGGAACCCACGCCATGTTGGTGTTTCTCTTCGTCCCCACTGTACCATATCTTATGACCCTCTTCTGTAGTTGTTACTCCCGAGCCTGTCCACCTAACTTCTGATAAGCCTAGGATGTCCCATCGGTATTTACTGAGTTCATGGGTCAGTTCTTTTACTTTCCCACAGGCATAAAGCGTTCTAACATTCCATGTTCCTATGACTGTGTCAGCATTTGGGAGTTTTATTAGTCGGTGTGTCTCAGTAGCTAACTTATCACTTCTGCCCTGTGACACGGCAGCAGAAAGCGCGGTCGTTGTTAAACCGGGCCCCGACCGATCCGGCATGGCGTTTACTGATATTGTTCTCATCATAGCATTACACTGGGTTTGATAGGTCTTGACGGCACTCATCTCCTATCCAAGACCGATTTTTCCTCAGGGTTGTCTCCCGAAGATGGACTGTCTTTCTGGACTTATGAGCTCCATCTGCCCAGTATTGGGTTTGATAGGTCTTGGTGGCACCCATCTCCTATCCAAGACCGATTTTTCCTCAGGGTTGTCTCCCGAAGATGGACTGTCTTTCTGGACTTATGAGCTCCATCTGCCCAGTATTGGGTTTGATAGGTCTTGGTGGCACCCATCTCCTATCCAAGACCGATTTTTCCTCAGGGTTGTCTCCCGAAGATGGACTGTCTTTCTGGACTTATGAGCTCCATCTATCCAGTATTGTGTTTGATAGTTCCTGGTGGGAACTATCTCCTCTCCTAGAGCGATGTTCCCTAAGGGTTGTCTCCCTTACCATGTCTCCGCAACGGCTAAATAAATGCACAGCTTTAAAGAGACGTTACAAAAAAACGTCTCTTTGCTGACTTATGTGTCACTACACGGACATTTTTAATACCTTGAAAAAATCCAAGTATCCACTGACAATGTGGGAGAAGACTATGTTCTCCAGTCTTTTGTCAACCTTTAAGAAGAAAATTCAGAAGTTACCTTTCTCGAGGAATCCATTATGTATCCAAAGTATTTCTGCAGAGTCCCTAAGAGAAATCAAATCCATTCACATAATTGAACTTTAAAACACTATTATATAAGTCTAAGTTATGGTCTTGGAACCCGAATGGGAAACGGCGAGTTGGTTGTCCGAGGGTGACATGGAGGAGGTCATGCGAAGAGGAGATAAAAGCATGTGGGCAGACGTGGAGCCAGGTGAAAACGTTGACGGAGAACCAAACTCAATAGAGACGTGCTGCTGAAACCATATGTTCCTCTAGGAACTAAAGGAAAAAAATAATAAGTGGTAATCTACGCTTACATGGACTCACGACGAAACATACCAGACGAAAGAGGTGTGTGCTGGATTATTCATCTAATAATTACTGAACAAAATAAATGGATTATTTGTCTACAGTTAGACAAGAATAAATGCAAGAGTCTAAACCAAAACTCCTACACTCCATGAAGTCAGTGGAAGTCCATATCAAATTACAAGTGGATCTAAAAGAATTTGTGTTCAATTTCTCAAATATGTTACTCTTGTCAAAACGACTTTAAGCACAATCACTCGGTACCGAATGCTGTCATCGAGCTTCCAAGGACGTGTATCTCGACAGTTAGGTAGGACTTAGAAGTTCTAGTTTCTAACGGCAAAATACAACATTTTAAGTTGACAGTATTTTACTACCATCTGAAGTTTAAAAAGTCAAAAGGGAAGCACTACCGACTTCTTACTAAAATCTAAAACTTTTATCAAGTAAATTGATAAATGGACTTCTTTTGTATATGCTGACCCCTCAGTGTGAACACAACAGGACCCACCTACAAATATAGTATATAAAGAATATACCACTTGAATTTCAGTTATTCTATCTACATACTTTTTCGTATCTTTGTTCTTACATTTCTAAATTTTACTGATCCTACATTAATCATAGCGAATAGTTTCTATCATTCTTCCCCATAGATTCATGTTTTGAATAAATAGATTAACACGATGAAAAGCAGTCTTCTCAGCGTGAAAATATCAACATCCATTTATTGATAGCTAAGCAGCACATACACACATGTGCAAAAGAATAACGATTTAGCAGCTTTAAAATTTTGCAGTAAGAATGATATGCACACAGATATATAAGTTCTCCACTTAATCTTCTGATAGTAAATGACGCTCTCACTCAGGAGTAAAACCAACAAGTTTCGAACATCATAGAGAGATGGAAAGAAAGAAAAAATATATGAGACAAATTGTGGAGACGTGTGACTACGTCAATATGATTATGAGCAATAGTTTACGCTCGAAACGTTATCCAGTTGTTAATACTGAATCACTATGTGATATTTAAAATGAACTTACTGAATATGGAACCAAACTCATACTTTATTTGGCTTAGTATCAAGAAAGTGTGTCAAATCCGAATGTTATTCTATAAGTTTAACAACTTGCAAAATATCAACCACAAAAAACGGAGGTGAATACCGTTGGTTTGAAGTATACAACCATCAATAATCTACACCTATGATATAATAATAATTGCTATTATTAATATAGTCAAAATAGTTTCAAGGAGATCAAGGTTTGAGGTTGAAATTATTGTTACTTTTATTCTAAAATCATATACATATATAACGAACAGAAAAATATACGAAATAAAACTGTTGACCATTATCACTAATCGAAATAGTCTGACAAGTCAACATCTGGATCAAGAAGACGATCCTCCAGATTAGTTAAATCAATTTGATTTAAAATTAAATTCTCCAATGTTTCCTCTAAATCAGTCTCACCAATTAAAACTGCTCCATGCATACGTCCAGACTGCATAATACACTTGATAAATTCTCGTCCACGTGTAACGCGCATTAAAATATAAGTATCTGGATCAGACAGATTCATACCTTGACCATTGAAACGGCCTAGTAAAACAACCTAAGAAGAAATAACAAGAGTGAAGATTATCGCAATACAAAAACTCGCAAACAATAAGTGATTTCGCGAGTACATCTGTTGCTGCACAGTACTACAAATACAAAACTTTGATTGATATAACCAAAATTACTGTGAAGACTTATCTGGATAGATAGTTTTCTTTAAATGTCACATCGAAATATACTTTAAATTAAGTCAGTGATGCAGGTGAAGAGACACTTACAGTCACAATGTGAGAAAAAAAGTTTACAGGATAAAAGTGTGAAATATTACAGGCTATACTTAACTTTATTCAGGATAAGTCACCAAATATGACGAAAAGGAACATTAACCTCCCTATTCAGTATTGCTGTAAGTGAGCAATTTCATAAAAGCAGATAAAACAGTTTATATGATCAAAAAAGCCAATATTTCAAGTCTAGTATTATAGTCTCAGATGTAATGGCAACGATTATAATGAGTTCTAAACGCCTAGGCAAATATTTTAGAAAAGGTGGTCTTTTTTATTTATAAGGTGATAAGCAACACCTTGGCAGTTTGTAGACAATCTGAACAGGGATTTCGGATTTAAGTTCCCTAATTGCCTGTCTATCCACATCGTTTAGATTTACTAATCATACGTGTTTAGCAGTTGTAGCCCTAACCGATGAAAGTGAAAAAACCAAGCCATTTGAATTACAAATTAACACCTTGAAGTCTTAAAACATGTTGAAACTAGTTCCCCATGACGAAATAACAGGAGTTATTTATCGTAAATTTGTGGATAGTCACACTATATTTTAAAAAGAAACAAAACTGAAGCAATGGCTTGAAATGAACTTCTGAAAAGTGAATTGTTCAATATTTGAGGATATTTTTTTCACGCTTCAGACAGTTCCGAGTGGAACATAGGGCTATAACGTTTGCAGCTTTCAGAAGCAGTGGTGTTATTATCAGGGGTGGAGTTGCTAGCGTCATGACCAATCCCCCATCCCTTTTTGACTTACTACCGGCTAGTAAACATTAGGCAAGGTTTAGAAGTGGCGTTAGCGGGGCAGTGAATTCGAACCTCCCAAATGGCTGTCAGGCATTCATTCCTACCAACGGAAATGATGTCTCATATTAAATCCGTACAAAAAATGGCCTGTCAATTGTAACATGCTAATATACTGCAAAGAATGACTTACTTTGAAACCAAAAAAGTAAGTTACATGAGTGAAAAGTTCGAAAGAAAAGTCCAGTGGAACATTTGTATCTCCATTGGTATGACAGAACATACATTTTGCTGCCTGAAATCACACAAGGTAAACAAAAACTCAATCTAAAAGATTCAGAAAAATATGAGGATAAATATTCCGTTTTAAAATCTTTTCTACCCATTCACCTAATGCCTATTACACGTTATCAGTTCATCATCCTAGTAAAAAAAGTGTATATAAATGCAAATGTTGCCAAATCGGTGGCTATTGGTTACTACTCATCTTAGTTTCTTCTTACAATCTTTTACATTACCTTACTAAGCCAGTTTAATAAGACTTTCTTTCGAATTGAAAGAAAGACAGAGTTTGGAGGAAACAGAAAAGAAAATGTCACAAAGGAATGGTTGATATAAGTATAAAACTTGGGCACTGTGGTAGAGTATAACTCCATTATGGATAAGATTTTATTTTGATAAGTCACACAGTGTTACACAGTAATATTAACTGATGACGTTTCGAGCACAAATTATTGCTCATAATCACATTTTTACAGTTTCCATCCATGCCACCTTAACTTCTTTAAGTCGAGTAGATAACATAACATAGTTACTAGTTCCCAGACCTTACATTTTACGAATTTCCTGGGATAATTTGAGCGCCAAGTCACATTGAATCATTATAAAACTATTTCAAATAATTTATAATAAAACTCAATAGTTCTTCTAACTCAGCTTTTCCAGTCGTGTGATTCAAATTCGATTCTTAATGAACTCTTGATGAGACTTATCTAATCTTTAATTTTATACCAAATTTTATCAATACTTGCTGAGAAAGAAAATGAAATTACTTCCATTGTGGGTAAAATTTATTTTGATGAAGTCACACAGTGTTATACAGTAATATTTACTTATGATGATTATGAGCAGTAATCAATTGTGCTCGAAACGTCATCAGTAAATATTATTTGCATAACACTGTGTGATTTTATCAAAATAAAATTGTATCCATAATGGAATGATACCCTACCATAGTGCCCAAGTTTTATCTTTATAATAACATGAAATTAGATGTAGAAAAGAATCCTACACCTAAACCAGCTACAATTTGAGCTTGAAAATTATCAATAAATCGTCGGTGTAACTTTGTTGCCGGTGAAAAACAGTTTCCTTTGTTAACTTCCATTTTGAGTTAAACTGGTTACACATCAATAAAGTTACACGTTACTACAAGGAAATATTAGATGAAAGCAGTAAGTATTTTACACAACAGACTTGTGTTTAAAACAATTAGTTCCCTTTATGAATTTAGACAAAGCGATAAGAAGTAACTCGTCTGAATCGTGTAATGTATTTGCGCAGCACATTTCGAACAATCTGAACACACACGGACTTGTCATAGGAATATATATGAAATTAATAAAGAGGTGAGAAATAGACTTAGGTCAAGGTAAAAGAAGATATTCAGGGTCAAAATAACATTGAAGACCAACGAATATGCACTGAAGACACACTTGATGAAGAAAAAAGAAAGTTGACACAAACTCTGGTTGATAACAATTGTCTACATAAGTTCATCAAGAGATATAAGGTAGTCAGATCACCAAGACCCACTCTCCAACTCGCTCCTAAGAAAGACGTGTACATCAAGCTACCCTATATGGGGCATCAAAGCAGCTTGATAACTAGACAAAGACTGAATGCTGCTGTCAAAAAACTTTTTATGCAGCCAATATCATAATAATAGAGAATGTAAAGCCAATATATCTATCTAAGCCCTTCGAACATGCGAAAAATGACGTCACATCCCATTGTATTTACCAATTTGAATGTATGTGTGGACACACATATATAGGGAGGACTCATCAATCTCTGCAAGTAAGGGCTTCAGAGCATATTCCGAAATGGCTCCAAAAACAAATGGAATCTTCAGAACCTATTAACGGTGAGAACAGGAGACCTAGCTCTTCTATTAAGAAACATATTATAGAGACAGGACATAAAATTGACCTCAACAGATCTTTTAAACCTATCTATAAAACGTGTTTGGGGCGTATCCTAAAGTTTGTGGAAGCCCTAGCAATTAGAAAGTTTAAACCACCTTTATGCGTTCAAAAACAATTCGTCATCACATTAAAGCTTCCTTGGTAAATTTTGTTGTGATACCATAGCAGTTGCACTATTTGCTTTAGTGGTCTTCAATGTTATTTCGACCCTGAATATCTTCTTTTACCTTGACCTAAGTCTATTTTCTCACCTCTTTATTAATTTCATATATATTCTTATGACAAGTCCGTGTGTGATCAGATTGTTCGAAATGTGCTGCGCAAATACATTACACGATTCAAACAAATTATGTCTTCTTATTGCTTTATCTAGACTTGTGTTTGTCATTTCCTAGTCAGAAAATCATTGGGACACAAACGAATAAGCTAGATAGTTTTGCTCCATCTATGTACATTAATCAGCTGAACTGTTCCTACAGAGACACAATTATGCTATGCGCATTACTAGACAGCTTAATCAACATGCCACTGAACACCTCCCACCGCGATATCGTAAACAATACACAATCTATCTGAAGCACTGTTTTGTGGTATTTAGATCAGTTGTCATTCTGTAGATAAAAAAACAAAAGGTGATTCATTGCATCCCATCAAATCTTACAAATGGACTTCGTATTCGTCTACTGCATACAGCTGAGGTGATTGGTATATATATATATATATATATATATATAATCCCTTTCTTATCAGATAATAATCTTGCTGCATCTTCACTAAAACACAGTTTATTTACTACCCTTAAATTTTAGCATTACTCAAACTAAATAGTTTGTTTTTCATAGCCTACGGTCTATCAAAACACTTGTTGGTTCACTCATGTTGTTTTCTCTTTATCCCTTTTATCACGAATCCATCCACTTTATTATTAATAGAAATATTATTACCATTCTGACTAACTGAACAATTTATGTACGCAATCAAATCATCATCATCATCTGGTTATGTGTAAAACCAGGAAAAAAAAATATTCAAATTAACAATCATTAAGAAACACCTCACGTGAAATCCCATCTGCCTAGCTTGATTCCATAACCTCATTTGAAACCAGTGTGGAGACCATGTCCAATGGGCATATGCACAGTCACCAGCTGCATACACATCTTTGCAGCTAGTCCGCATTTGTTCGTCAATTAACAAACCCCCGCCAAGATACATTGAAACACGATCAAATGAACAGCCAAAAACTAACGATTTTGTGGTGTCAGCTTCATTATCATCATCACCACTATTCTTATGAGCAGAAGCATCAGTGTCTGTATCACCTCTATTATTTTTATTGAATGGACTGAAATTTGCTTCAACGCCAATTGCGCTTACAACTAAATCACAACCATAAATTTCATTATTCGTTAACTCAACATAAACTGGCCAATCATCAACTGGCATCACACCACCATTATCTGTGCTGTTGCCATTTGGAAGGGGTAAAGTTTCTGACTTTTTTGTGCTAAGAAATTCCTCAGGAGATAAGAGTTTTTTGATTTTAGCTTGATAAACTACCTGAAAACAAAACAAAACCAAATAAGCATACGTAAAACTACGACTAGGCAGTCATCGTTTAAAAAAAGACAACCCATGGTATAAGAAACAATAAGTAAATATCCCGCCATTGATGCTTTCCTTCTTATTTGTTGTCTAAATGACTTGAAAAGTAATTTTCTATTTCTCGTTGATTGATTCTGTTAGAGCGAAATTGCCAGTCTCTGTTGTATGTCGGCTTCTAGTACAGACGCTTCGACGACATCTGTGGATTAAAATGACGTTATTTGGTGGATGGTGACTAGCGGTGGCATCCAGGAGGCGCATCTTATCGTACTTGGGACACGTCAGCCGAATGTACCAACAACCTCCAGTGAGGTGATTTTCGTGGCTCAATTGGCCTAATAGATAACGCTTTGGCATTTGAAATGATGAGTGCTGGGTTCGAGTGTCAGTGGGAACACAACCACTAATATAGGATCGCATGTACATCCAGCTTTCAAGTTTCAAACGGGACGAAGTGCACACCTGGATTCTATCGCTAGTCACCACCCACCAAATAGAAATATACAATGTTAAAGAATCCTAAAAATATTTTAAAGAAACAATAATTCTTTGTAAGTCTGTGTTTCATGCTACGCATTGCTGCCCAATTACCAGTCATTGAAAACTGTGAAATACTAGGACCACTTAAAGGATCGGATGAGAATTCACTGGATTCAAAAATACACCACTGTAAATATCAAATGCTCAATTTAGAAATGGGACTCTCAGTGAACCAGGAAGACTTCTGATATGCCTCATCAAGATACAAGTTAATACTACGGAATGGCTAATTGTAAGGAAGAACAATTGTGAAATATTGATGGTAGCCCGAAAAAAACACTCATATGTGAATCATGAAGCGTAAGACATTCAACATCCGCTGGGTTATTTTTTTTTATTTCTTCGCTTTGTCCTAGTTTGTGATAATAAAGAAAAAAACATTTTCGAATACACATAAAATGGTTGAATGAATACACATAAAATATAATAAGTGTCAGTTAAACTGGTCTAAATACTACATCGAAAACTACTCAACCCCACTTCACTATGAATAGGTGATTAGTGTCATTACGCCTTAGGTAATAATAATAATAAAGACTGAAAATTTAACTGTAATGACTCCGATATGTTAAGTTTTTGGTCTATTCCAAGCCTCAAGTCTTTATTTCTGTCACTGATGGGATATTTTGCTACTGTAATACACTGTAACTTACACATGCAAAGTAATAAGAAGCGGGAAACTAAGTATGTTAGTGGTGAGGAGGATTTGAATAGCTTTGCATTCCCCAAAAACAAAACACAACCAAGACGGACTAATGCTGATGGGCAGAGAGAGATAAGAATAACCACTTAAAGGTACATATAACGAGATAGCAAGTACTATTTCTTTTGATGAATTTCAAATATGAAAGCGCTTTCGAATTCCAAATATATTAATTAATTGTGCAACATCACTAAACTGTGAGAATATAACAGTTTAGTCAAACAACTGTCAATTAAAAAATGGATATAGAAGGAATTAAAAAATTAACAGTTACCGATGTGATCATACTTTAAGTAGTTCACCATCTACTGTATTAGTGAGACGACCTAATAAATTGCGTCCATGTGCCCAATCGGGGCCCAGAGCAGCACCAGTAACTTGAGGTTTACTGATATGCAATTCAAGTGGTTGATTCTGAACAGGAACAAGTATAAGATGGCCCTTTGAAGTTTTAGAGATATCTTCCACTGAATCATTGTCAGCCACAACATAGCGCATACGTCTCATTTGTGTACCTTCTGAAGCAGCTCCTGACAGGTTGGAAGCAGATCCACCTTTTTCTCCAGAGTTACCCTGCTTTGAAATTTCCCTTGCTTCTAAAAGAAATGCAGCTGCTACTGGATCCAAAAACGGAGCACTGATACTGCTGTCTTTGATGACCCAAATAATTTGACAGCCAGACACTTCATGTGCGATTTCTGTAGCTATGCCTCCATTACCAACTAACATTAAGCGACGAGTACCTAGGTAAAGTATAGAAAGAATGTCTGAGAAATATTCAATGATACACACACGTACTAAGTAAGTCTTAACTTTATTCAACACAGATTCATGTAAGTATTAACCCGTTTTATCTCACGATCGTACTGTCTTATTCTGCACAAACTGCTGTTTTCGGTTTATTCGAAAACGGTCTATCTATAAACACTTACTTGCCACCTTCGTCATGCGACATTTGCAGAGGTCAGAAGTCCTAACAGTTCATTATAACCACTTGAAGCTAGTGCATCGCCTAATCCCACCAACCTCAACACCCTCCCGGTGGGGAACTGGTTCATCCGATTCCGCGTACTGACACTGCATTCTATTCCGAGGGGGGATGGTTGTAAAAGTTGTGAAACTAATATCTATGCTTTATAGTTGTGATATTGTGGTGAGAGCTGGTTGCTAGTCAAATTGGTAGACAGTAATTTACGTCAATGTTTACGTCCTCAATATTGGTCGTGAGAAAATATGAAGAAAGACTGATTCAACAACCAACCACAACAGACTTTGCGTAGGTGGATACAGTTAGCATATAGATGATATGACATTCAAGAAACAGCCACAAAGAGATGAAAGATTAATTTTCAGAGAGAAACAACCAATCAGAAGACTGTGTTTGTTTGCTTAAATAATCTATAATAATGTACATAAAAATATGTATTTATTTCCTTAATAAACAATTTATTGCCTGGCCCTTGTCTTCTGTTGTTACAATATAACTGACCAATTATCGAACTATATACTGAGCATAAATAACTAAACACTGAATTTATCCTTTTAATCCACGCACTTAAATCTGTTTGTCTTATAATTATTACATGGAGGATTTCATCATGAGCTGACATCAGTTATTATAATAATAATACACATTTTGCTTCGCTTCCAGGCCTCATGTTCTTACTCGCGTGATCCAGTTTTGTGGTGTTTGCTGGTTAGTCAGTATGTGCTGCTTTCTGTTTTACAGGTGATGCTGCTTCCCGAGCTCCTTACATGATTAAAACATTAACGGACTGAGAAAAGTTGATTTACTGGACGAAAATCTATGTGAACCAGTGACCTAAACAGATCACTGCTGTCGATTATACACTTAAACATCCATCATAATCCAATTAATCAACAGTCTAATATAGCCTACAAGGGTAATATATAAATATGTCAATAATTAATTAATGAATATAAGTGATCTCAATTTCCAATAACTGGGGTTTGAGGCAAGCATAGTTTGAAACGAAATATTAAATAGTAGATTTTTGGGATATAATTGTATTTCTTTCTCTAATAACAACTCTTTCTGAATTATTTTGTCATACAAGCATTTCAATCATTTGTGTAGCTTTCTAATGAGTTGACTTTTTCTATAAAGTTAAGATTTTGTTAAACATTTCACTAGAAATCTCACCAGCACTATAGAAGTTGCAACAGATATTCGCTAACAAGTGACAATAGACATTTAAATCTTTAAATATTCCCATTATTAATATTAGAAGAAGACATATATGCGAACAATATTGTTTTTGATTGGATCTTCTTCAGGCTTTACTCTAATACACGTATATTTATATATAAGAATATTAACCAATGACGGTGATTTTGTGGATTAAATAATAATGTGGTAAATGTTTTGAACGTCATTAATAACGATGATTATAATGATAACAAAATAATGATAATAAGGTTTATGCAAGTGGCGATAGAAGTATTGCCTTCAAAGTTATCTATCGCATTCATCGAACCTTTCGGACGGAATTCAAAGCTATGGGAATTCGAGAGAACAATCCCAGTCTTTGCATGCATAAGAATTTTGTTCTACCTTTGTCTCTCCCTTGGCCTAGGTAAATTCTAATCAACACCCTCCCAGTCTTTATAAGTTTCTATTTCCTTCGTACTTTTATGATATTTATTTAAACTCTGATAATTTGTCCACTTCACCATTATTATTACGTAACTTTTAAGATGTGACCTAATTTATTTATTGAATTGTCCACAGATACACATATTACCTTTGTTAATCTTATCGCCACCTGCATAAACCTTATTATCATTATTTTGTTATCATTATAATCATCGTTATTAATGACGTTCAAAACATTTACCACATTATTATTTAATCCACAAAATCACCGTCATTGGTTAATATTCTTATATATAAATATACGTGTATTAGAGTAAAGCCTGAAAAAGATCCAATTGAAAACAATATTGTTCGCTCACAGACATTTATTCAAACAGTATGTAGAGAAATTATTCAAGGTATGTTAGTCTACTAGATTACACTTTAAGAGACTGGAAAGAGAGCTTCATAAAAGTGTATGGGAAAAAATTTTTTTAAAAAAAGTTTTATGTATGATAATAAAAATAATATCAAATCAAAAAGAACTGACTAGATAAATTTCTGTATGATTATACAAAAAAGACCTATCATTGTGTGTATTTAAACTATTGAAATAGAATTATAACTTATTTAGTCTCTTCCACAATGCTCAAACTTTTTACTGACATTATATGCAACTTATTAAGATGAGTTCTAAAGCTTTGAACCTCCGGCTAAAGAAAAATCCAGTGTATTGTAGACCGAATAGCATGAATACGACTATCTAACCCGAGAATTCATCGATGTTTGCTGATGACCGGAAAACCACTCACTGATTGATTTTAAAAAAGAACTCTGCCCAAAAGTGCGTCAGTTCCAGTTGCCGTGCAGCACACAAACATAGAGAAAAGAAAGTAGGAAAGAGATTCAAAAGAATGATGATAAGCAGAAATGTGAGGGAGAAAGAATTGCAACATGGAAAAAAATGAGTGTTTAATGGATATAATATATCACAAAGAGTGAATGCATTTGAGTCACTGAGAACGATTTTAAGCCATATCACCAATTGTCTTCAAACATTGGTTCTTAGAATCCCGAAGAGCCCAACTAGGCGGTAGTCTACACCTCCGTACATGGCTCAACTGTCAAAGGATTCATGGGTTGTTGCCAGCTCTTGATTTGACCGCCCCTAACTCATCGAGAAAGGCGGTGGCTCGTTATGTGCAACATGTATCCTAGTCATCTCAATTAATGTAGCTTTGTAAACCCATCGCCTGATTTCCCTTCCTTATTTAACGCTCTACGCCTAACCAAAAAGCCAAATACAGATTCACTAAGAGTCTTCATAGTTCTTATTCACTAAGATAAGATTATCGGGAAACTAAGTGAACTAGGAATGAGAACCAGTGATGTTTGATAGAAGCTAGTGCTAAAAGCGAATTATGCGTTCTTGAATTAATAAGTGACAAACAATTTTTTCATTCTTTTGCGTCCCCAAGTGGAACATAGGGCTTCACACCTTAAGCTTTGAAGTTTCAGTGGCGTTTGAGCTGTTTTTTATGAGATGGGGTTGCTAACCTCATGCCCAAACTTCTCTCTTTTCCTCGCTTACCACTGACTGGTAAACTACGCGAGATTTAGGTGTCGGCGAGGAATCGAACCCGAACCAGAATCGTGGTTGCTGAGCATTCTACCATTGAATCACCAACGCATTACAAACAATATATATTCACCAAAAGATAAAAGAAGATGGAAAAAACAAACTACTGAGAAACGTCCAGTTAGACTGGACCGCCTATCTTGTGACAACCAGTCCTACCCCATTGCACAAGTTCATATTAATGTGTTTCTAACGGAAAATCAACAAATACAGTTAATTGCCGCCAGAAACCATCAATTGTAAACCACACATTTTCATCGTAAAACTCATTGCCATTAAAGGAAGAGTTGTTAAAACAATTCTATTTACAGTTTCCTGTAACACGTAGGTTAAAAGATTACAACGGATCATTAATCAGAATACAAACTAACAAATTTAGTTAGGAGAAAATACAACACAGTCCAAATGATTACGAAGCAGTACAAAGGAATACATCTAGGTAAAGAATTTTGTGCTCAATTAGTAACCAATTATTTTATACACAATACATGACAAAAGCCTTAGTATTCTCATCATAATAATTAGGCAAAGTAACCTACCTTGTAAACGCTTTTGAAATGTTTCTATGCTTTCAGTATCTCTTAAACCAATAACATAAGGATGTTTCGGATCGATAAGACGAGGAACACCGCCTGTTGTTAAACACAATTTGCCATAAGAAATTGGATTGTTAATACCACTTTTCTGCAAGCAGATGATGTGCCTAAAAGGACTAAATTCATCAAAACAAAATAAAAGCCATCAGTCATATTCCGTAGGAAAAATGTGAACAAACTAATCAGACGATAATAATAATTCCTTGTAAAAAGCAAATTGCTTACAAGGTCATGACGACAATTCAAAGCTTAGCATTATAGTCTTTCCAATGGGTTTCGAAAAACCAACACCAAATTTCCTCAATAATTAGGAACATGAAACACACAAAACGAACAACAGCGATGCACACAACAGATCGCAATTTCCGAAATCATAAAAAAGAACCAACGATAATACAAGAGACAATCAAAATAAATACGAATATACGAGAAATGAATCAGTTGAGATCAAACAACAATTCTGCGTTTAAAACTTTATGTCATGAATTTGTCTATTCTATGTGAGACTTCACATAAAGTGTTAAATATACAGCATTCTTAGTTTTAGGTACTAGACTGAATTATTATTCTTATTATTGTTCCCTTGGATTCCGAGTGGAACACGGGGCTTCAACAGCACATCTCCGATTTGTCCTGTTCTATGTGGTCCTCTTCAAATGGCCTGGCAATTGTCCATACTCCCTCATCTCCTCCTGGCAGGCCTCCTCCATGTCACCCTAGGACGCCCTATTCCACGTTTCCCATTCGGGTACCACTCGATTCCCTAGCGCACGGCGTCAGTAGAATAAAAGGTCAGGTCGATTATTTCAACCAGCTGTTCAAATCATGGATTTTTAATGAATGATTTCGACTGGCTACGCGACGTTTACAATAAACACAGCGTAAATAATTATTGTACTGTATTCAGAGGTGAGATAATCATCAGTATGATCAAGATGAAGCGGCTTAAGCTGGCATAAAACAGTTTTAGAGACTCCACGGTGCTTACGCGGATGTGAAAAATCGTACGTGCAGAGCTTTGGCACAAATAGCTCTACCTCGCACCTAAATATGTGAAAATTCAACAATTTTCTATGACCGTTCTTTGTTGTTTGCGTAAGGCTGCTCATAATCACTGGAAAATGACTACAAAGTGGCTCATAGAAATGTCGAATAGTAGATATTAGCTATCAATTCCCCTTAAGAATTGGCACATTATAATTCCGATCATCTCTTCACTCTCCGACCGAACTACTCTCATAACGGTCACATAAAACACTTCTAAAAAGGGCTATTACTTCTGCATATTAATCGTAATCACTTTTAACTATACCACGTCTAACAGTCTAAATGATACTGATTTCATAGTAACTGAAATATCAGATATAAACTATTTTGTCTAATCAACTTCTGGAAAGCAGAAATACCTCGGTAAGGTGGAAACATTACCACGCCTACTTGACTGGTTCTCTAGCTTTCTAGCCGATCCTAAACCCGGAAGGAGGGAAGGGCTGGACGTGGAGCTACCCCACTCTGCCACAGAAAATCAGTCCAATCGCTACAGAAACTTCAAAGCACAAGAAAAATATGTAACACAGACTTATCCTTCGCTCGAATCGCAGTGGCAGAACGACGCAGGTTAGTGAAAGCCTTCGGGAAGTCAGTCAACCGATGCCTACTTCCGATTAGAGCAAAAATAAGCATTATGATGTGGAATGTTCGCACAATGTACAGAGCTAAGAAGACTACCAATGGAACCAAAGGGATGAAAAGATATGGCATAGAAGTGCTCTGAATGTGCGGTAGCGGATGGAATGGATGTGGACTATCCAAATTATCAACTGGTGAGTCAGTAACCTAATCCTGTCACCCGGCCGACAACCACGAGCAAAGTGAGGCAGTCAGTGGCTATCATGATGTCACCAACAGCAACCGGAGCTCTTATGCAGTGGGAACCAACCTCCTCCAGAATAATGACAGTAAGATTCAACTCAAATAGTAGGAAAGTTACAACTATCAAATACTACGCAGCTACAAATAACGCAGATAGTGCAGAAGAATGCAGACTTCTGCAGACAACTACAGACAGTAATGCATAAGATCACAAATGGCGAAATCAAAATACTAATAAGCGGTATGAATCACAGCCAAACTGGGAACAGATAATACGGGAAGAGAATTTATTATGGATAGAGAAGCTCCCGCTCGGCTGAATGAATGATAACGTAAAACTTTTCGTAGACTTCTGCACTTTCAATGATTTGGTGATTGGAGGTAACTTGTACAAGAATATACACAAGGCGACACGGATTTCACCTGACGGACACACCAAAGATCAGATAGACTTCATCTTAATGCCACTCAAGAAGGTGGGGACGCCGGACACAAAGCCAAGAAGGGGGCAGTCGTGGGCTCAGACCACCATCTAATCCAAGGAACCTTCAAGGGGAAGCTGGAATCAGTGAAAACAACTGGAGACAGATCACAACTCAAGTTCAACATTCAGAAACTGAAGGACAAAATTACAAGGGATGCCTTCGCCAGAGATCAGATCAGAGCAAAATCGGACACATTATGTGGCATCACTGAGGAAACCTGCGTGGAAGAACATGGGAACTCTCTGAAGTCGATATTCAAGAAACGTGTACAACTGTTCTAGGAAGAAGGAAGAGACAAGGCAAGGAACAGCTGTCAATGTATACGTGAAAGCTAATAGACGAGAGGAGAAGTAAATGGTGAAATAGAATGTTGATGACTCAATGCAAAGATGGAGAAGAGAAGGAGAAGAATAAGCTGAGTTCAATGTACACTGTCGACGCCAAGTAAAATCCTGAGTCGCATCATCCTGGAGAGAATAAAGGACGCAATGGATACAGAACTCCGACCAGAACAAGCTGGATTCAGGAAAGGCAAATCATGTTCTGACCAAATTGCAACTCTACGCATTATCATCGAAAAAAGCATGGAATGGCAATCAAATCTCTACCTCAACTTTATAGACTTTGAGAAGGCCTTCGACAGCGTTGACCGCGAAGTAATTTGGAAACTATTCGAGCACTACGGCGTACCCCAAATATTCATCAACCTTGTTCAACAGCTGTACGACAACGGCACATGTCAAGTGATCCACAACGGAAAACTCAGCGAAGTGTTTGGAGTAAACACAGGAGTCAGACAATGGTGCTTATTATCACCAATGATATTCCTAATTGTGGTGGACTGGATTATGCGTCAGACAGTGGGAAACGAGAAGACAGGGATATCCTGGACCGACGTGAAGAACCTAGAAGACTTGGATTTCGCAGATGATTTATGTTTGATGTCACACAAAATCGAAAACTTACAAGCGAAAACCGACAAACTGGTCGAAGAAGCAGCAAAGACAGGACTCCAGGTGAACATAGACAAGACGGAGGTTATGAAGATAACCAACCAACAACAACAGCAGCAACATCCAGCGCCAATCACCATCAACGGGAGGGATTTGAAAGAGGTTACTTCTTTCACTTATCCAGGGAGAATTGTCTCAACCACAGGAGGAACGGACGAGGATGTCAAATCGAGAATCGGGAAGGCGAGAAACACATTCATCAACCTGAAACCAATCTGGAAATCTTCGTCACTCAGCATCAACAACAAAATTCGGATTTTCAATACAAACGTCAGGTCAGTTCTTCTATACGGATCAGAAACTTGGCGGGTCACAAAGAATATTTTCAACAGGTTGCAGACCTTTATCAACGACTATCTTCCTTCTATACTGAAGATTAGATGGCCGGAAAGAATCACCAACAAGAAACTATGGGAAGAAACAAAACAAGAACCAATCGCCCAACAAATATGCAGGAGAAAGTGGAAATGGGTTGAACACTCGATGAGGAGGCCGTTGGGTGACATCGCGCGTCAGGCCCTCGAGTGGAACCCGAAAGGTAAGCGGCGAGTGGGACGTCCAAGGGTGACATGGAGGAGATCGTGTGAAGAAGAGTTGAAACAGTATGGATCAACATGGATGCAAGTGAAAAGTACAGCACAAGACAGAAGCAAGTGGAGGCGTGCAGCTGAAGCCCTATGTTCCACTAGGAACCCAAGGGAACAATAATATAATAATAATACAATGTATACTGAGCTGAATAAAAAAGTGAAGAGGAGGGCTAGGAAAGACAAACGACAATTCTACGATACTGGAATAGGCTGAAGACAAAAGAGACCCCAGAACATTATATCAGATAGCCAGGTCGGGAAGAGATCAACCCAGATGATGAAACCAATAAAAGATGCTCAAGGGAACCTGATTGCCAATGAGGAGCGGCACACAAATAAAACAATGGGCTGATCACTTTTAAGGACTCTTGAATAGACCATCACTTGCAACTTGCCCAGAAATACCACCAACAGCATGCTGGCTGGCTGGCTGGCTGGATTCAACATAGAACTTGGCACCGAAGTGCAGCAGTTCGAGTTGCCACGTTCCAAATAGCACAGAAACGTAGACAAGAAAATGAGTGAAGAGAATCAATAGAGTTTTGACAAGTATAAGAGTCAAACAGGATGAATAATGGTAGAAAGGAATATGAAAGATTACAGAGACTGAATACATCTGCGCCATTGACAACAATTTTGAGCCATGTCACCTATTGTCTCCAGCCATTGATTCTTAGAGTCCCGAGGGCCCCAACCCGGAAGTCTGCATCTCCCTACCTGACTCAGTTTAACTGTCAAGGATTTCATGGATTGATGCCATGTTTTTGTTTGGCCACCACTTACTTTTTTCCAACCTGCACCTATATCAGCTAGTAATGCCCGTCGGGGGAGGCGATGGTTAGGCATGCGCAGCACGTGACCTAGCCATCTCAATCTATGTAACTTTATAGCCTCTTCGATTGATTTTCCCTCTTTGCCCAACACTCTACGCCTAACGTCAACATTACTTACCTTATTATACCACCTAACGCGAGAAAGAGATCGCAAACATCTGTGGTCAAAAACAGACAACCTTTTCATGTATTCAACTCGTATTGGCCATGTTTCAGAGCCATAGAGAAGGACGGAGCGAACTGCTGAGCAGTACACACGTCCCTTGGTTGATAGCCGGATGTCACGCCTACGCTAGAGACGGTGTAAGTTAGCGAAAGCAGCCCGATTTTCTTGGATCCGTGCTGAGATTTCGCCACCAATCAATCCGTTGGTGCTGATACAACTTCCCAAATAGGTGAAGTGGTCAACATGTTCTATCACTTCACTCCCTATCACTAAGCTAGGAGTTGACGTAGTCCAGTCCTGTACCAACAGCATGCACAGAACTACCTGTCAGTAAACACCGATCCTCCAACGAAAGCAGAAATCCTCAATGCGATCAAGCTACTGAAGTCCGGGAACGCGGTAGGACCAGATGGAATTCCTCGGAAACCGATCCAGAGACCGCGGCAGATATGCTTACACCACTATTGCAAAATGTCTGGGTGGAAGGGAAGGTATTTATTGATTGGAAGAACGGCTACCTTGTCAATTAACCGAATAAAGAGCGACTTAGGCCTCTGAAAGAACTGGCGCAGAATTACGCGCTTATCCACGCAAAGCAAAATATTAACTCGTATCACCCTGGAGAAACTAAGAAATGCACTGGATTCAGGTAAAGTAAATCATGTGCGGTTCAAATAGCAACTCTACACAACATCATCGAACAGAGCAAAGAACGGCAGTCGAATCTCTAACTCAACTTGATCGACTTTGAAAAGGCCTTCGACAGTGTTGACTGCGAAGTGATTTGGAAACTACTTCAAGACTATGTAGTGTACCAGACCTTTGTCGACCTCATTCAACAGCTATATAATGATGCCACATGTTAAGTGATTCACAACAGAAAACTCAGTGAAGACAGGAGTAAGACAAGGCTGTCTGCCTACTATCATCGATGATATTCCTGATTGTGGTGGACTGGATTATGAGGAAGACTGTAGGGAGCGAGAAGACAGGAATACCTTGGACCGATAAGAAGACTCTAGGAGATCTGGATTTCACGAACGATTTATGTCTCATGTCACACAAACTCGAAGAAATACGGGCGAAAACCAATAAGTCGGTAGAAGAAGAAGAAGAAGGAGCAAAGACAGGAATTCAGGTGAACATAGAGAAGACGGGGTGACGAAGTTAACCAACCAACAATAACAAGCCGCAATCACTATCAAAGAGGTCACTTCTTTCACTTATCTAGGAAGCATGGTTTCAAGTACTGGAGGAAGGGATGAGAATGTCAAAACCAGAATCTGAAAAGCAACGGAGACCTTCATCACTCTGAAATCAGTTTAGAAATCTTCTGCACTCACCATAAAGAATAAAATTCGAATTTTAAAAACTAATGTTGTCACTTTTTCTACGTGGGTCAAAAACTTTGCACTTCTCGAAAAGTAATTTCAACAGGCTTCAGACTTTTGTCAATAGCTGTTTTCGCTCCATACTGAAGTTCAGATAATCAGAAAGAATTAAAAAGAAACTGTGGGAATCAACCGATCACGAACCTGTTGCATAACAAATATTCCGAAGAAAATGTAGATGGACAGGGGGAAACACTGAGGAAACCGTTGGGTGACAGGTAGGTTACTAGAGTTGTTGTATAGTGGACTAATAAATGGGCTCGGTAACATCGATAATCACTTAACATCTTTTCGGTTATACACTTCAGACAAAACTTAACTTGATAATCTGAAGGCTCACAAAATTAGCGATCAAAGATGCTATTCAATGTTTTTGTTCTACATTATCGGTAGGATTACTGATTAGTTTCATACTGAATGCGGGTCAGATGTAGTTTCGTCTCAATTGTACTTACTTTTCATGATATCCAGCCAAGTTATAGTCCATGTGATGCAGAATACTCTTAGCATCTTCACTGATAGATTCCGATTAATGAAATTTTCATTTATTTGTGTGAGAGATGATGTAATATGTATAAGCATTCACATCAGAGCAGTTACTTGTCTAAAGGGACTATTTTTCAAGACTTTGACTTCAAGTTTGACTCATAACAAATACATTTTCATAAACCTTTGTGACCAGGACAGGCTTATACTTCATTCGTTCATTTTAAATGAAAAGATTAGCTGTTTCCGATCATAGGTGTCTGCGTTCTATCTCCCGCGTGAAGTGGTATAATAAGGTGAGCAATATTGAGGTTAGGCGTCGAGTGCTAGGTAAGGAGGGGAAATCAGTCGACGAGACTGTGAAATTACATCGACTGAGATAGTTAGGACGTGTGTTACGTATGTCTAGTCATCGCCTTCCTCGACTGGCAATGTTAGCTGATATAGGGTCGGGGTGGAAAAGAGCTAGCGGCGGTCAAACGAAAACGTGGCATCAGTCAATGAAATCTACAACAGTTAGTCTAAGCCACGTAGGAAGGTGTAGACTTCCTGGTTGGGGTCCTCGGGACGGTTAAAACCAATGGTTGGAAACAATTGGTGACATGGCTCAAAATCGTTCTCAGTGGCGCAGATGCGTCCACTCCTTGTGACTTATGATTTCCAATGAAACTACATTGTTCTTCGTTATTACTATTCCTTTGTCTCACACCTCTGTTTACTGTCTATATTATGCATTTCTCCTATTTTCTTCTCTTGCTTTGTGTGCTACATGGAGTGTGGCGACTTGAACTGCCGCACATATGTGCAAAGTTATATGTCGAAAACCGACCGACCGAAATATGCCGAAGAAAATGGAGATGAATCGGACACACGGTTAGGAAACCATCGGGTGACATCGCTCGCCAGGTCCTCGAGTGGAACGCGAATGGGAAAAGATGAGTTGGGCATGTGTCCGAGAGTGAAATGGAGGAGGTCGTGAGAGTAGGAGACGCAAGCTTATGGGCAATCTTGGGGTCAGCTGAAGAGCACAGCAGAGAACAGGACAAACTAGAGATATGTCGTTGAAGACTTAAGTTCCATTTGAAACCCAAGGGAATAATAATATCATAAGTGAAAACATTCAAAAATGGAGTGACTTGAATGTCTCACACAAGGTTTTCATAATATTTGATAGGCAATTTAAAAAACGGTACAATTTGCTGATATATGTGTGATACGACTCTAGTAGGTGAACTGATTAAATACACCAACTGTTTTTCGTGTCTGATGCATTCATCTTATGTCCAAAGTTACCCTGGCCCTAGGAGTGTCGACAGCCAAGTTTAAATGTCAGCTTAGAAGGTAAATGAGTCTATGGTTTAGTGATCATCTGACAATCTGGGCATCCACGTAACAACCTTCAGATGGCAAGATGACTTTAATTTACATTTGAGAGGGTCATTACCTGCTGCCCAATATAACAAATTGATGTCACGAATAAATACAACACTGTTCTGCATTCTCTGATAACTTTAGTCACGTAAACATTATCAACATCAGATTTAACATTACCACGTGATGGTACAAGCAGACTTTAGTATCATTCGATTTTGAAAGAAAGAACAAATAAGACTATTATTTTAATTGAATTTTAGATTTTCCCGTCGACTGATTGGACCAAAGTGCTCGGTTTCAGGTTGACTTGCGCAGATGCTTCGACGATGTCTGGGCATTTAATTAGAATTTAATTTGTGGATGTTGACAAATGGAATTAAGTAGAACAGGTAATGCATAAGCTCGACACGTTATTATTTTATTATTATTCGCTTGCGTTCCAAGTGGAACATAGGGCTTCAACAACACATCTCCACTTTCTTCTATTTTTCTGCCATCCTCTTCAGCCGGGTTTACAATTGCCCATAATCTCTCATCTGCCCCACGTCACCCTAGGACGACCCACTCGTCGCTTACCATTTGGATTCCACTCACGTGATGTGATTCGACTGTTTCCTCAATGTATGCCCCATCCATCTCCATTTTCTCCTACATATCTGTTGGTTTGTTCACACAGTTTCTTGTTACTAATTCTTTCTGGCCATTTTATCTTCAGTATGGAACCAGCGAAGGCAGCTGTTAATGAAAGTCTGCAACCTGTTGGAAATGCTTTTCATGACACGTAGTGCAAGTTTCTGACCCGTATAGAAGGACCGAATTGACATTGGTGTTGGAAATTCGAAGCTTGTTCCTTATGCTGAGTGCAGCTTAAATAACCATAGGATATGCAGCCCATAGAAGGTTACGCCAAAACATAAAACCGACCCATAAATGCGATAGTTGCAAAGATGTATATTTCTGAACATTTTACTATCAGATACACCAAAAATTTAAAGACCAACAGTAGAGTGAATGATAGACAATACCACTGAACCTGTTTATCTTGAATTAAAAACTGAATACTTATTTTATCCAAGCTTTATGTTTTCCACTTTTTTTTACTTTTCGTTATTATGATATACACAACTATGACAATATGAATGAGAGCATTCATCTTTCAGATACATCACTGACTTCACAAAATAAACAAATAAATAAATAAATATCGATGCTTCACAAATTACTGTTCGAAATCAAATCAAAATTGCATTAAGTCAACTGTATAAAAATACTCAACAAAATGCGACTCACTCAAGTTTTATTAAAATATCATGTATTACAGTAATCGTATTAGGCCATGTTTCTGACCATAAACTACCAGATTTCTCTTCAACATCAAAAGACTCAATCATATTGGTAATACGTTGTAAATTAATCGTAGTTTTCACTGTTTCAGTAGCAGTTACTAGTGCTACACGTTTCAAATGATCTGCTTGTAGTACACTAGCTCTAGAATATTCACTAGGATTAAGTAGTTCACATAGTGTTTCTGCGCATACAACACCGGCTATTCCACCACCAATAATAACAAAATCATAATAACTGACATGGCGTGCAACAGAATTTAAGGTCATATTTTCCTTGAAAATAAATGAAATGTGAATAAATAGACAGCTAAAACAATAAAAATAGATTAACAATAAGAACTACACACCGATATAATAAGTCAAACTGATAAACAGAGAGATTTCCGATTGATCATTTTCAGTAGAAAACATTAATTTGGTCTACTTCCAGTGGCCTACTACCCCGCCTCCCCCTTGAATATTCTGTGATTATTACGAACAAAAGTTGTTTACAACTTCAGGAATAATAAATACCATTTTGTTCATTTCGTCATTTTTGACCAGTTTATGAAAACTTCTCAGTTAGAACAGGTTTGAAATTCAAGTTAGAGCTTTCACATCATTGAGATGATTAAGTACATTAACATACAACAATTAATGAAAAGCTGATTTCACATATTTCTATCAATACTAAGAAGATTGACTAAAAAATCTAAATCACTTAATATGGTAACAAAAGGTAAAATCCAACTACTGGCTATATTAAAGAGTAGCATCGATGATAAATCCCAGTGTGAAAGTATCAATCCGCATTACACCTTCAGTACTGAAATGCTCTATTCCACCTTGCTTAAGATCTTCTACTAGCTTACAGGTTTCTTATTGTTTTCAAAACATTGACAGCAACTTAAACATACCAAATAGAACTTTCCGACCCTCTTTAACTGTTGAATGCCGTATTTATTCGTATATAACATGCTGTTCAGCACACAAACATCCTGGCAAAGGAAGTATTTTTTCCAAACCCCATATACAGCCCAAATCGGATTGTTTACTAGATAGCACCCATCCATTGTAACAGTTCTGCATCTAGTGCGTATGGATATTAAGTAGCCAAAGTTTATGTATTCGAAAGTAAAAAATACTTCTTCCGTTAACACATTATTCTACTGGGTGGTCGTACAACAATTAGAGCTGTGAAGAGTCAGTGCATAAACACTTACTGACCAGTTTTCTAGACGCTAAGAACAGATTAAGGCAAAACTTATTAAACTTGATCTTTTAGTAGTGCTTTTTATGGGAAAGAGATCAACATCAATGTAGCCTAGTGAATTTAAACAAAAAAAGTAGTGACTATTCGCTAAAACTCAACCTCTACTCAATAGAAACTTTACGTAAACCTAATTTATACAACCAAGTAAATACGCATAAAAACTTAGTATTGATCAGAACTGCTGTTTAAGGGCAGTTGATACTACTTAACTAACCTGAGATATTCACCCGCTTATTTATTAGGCGACTAACCAGACTAATGAGGCATTACTCCACGTCTAGGAAGCACAAACACCAACAAGTTTGAAGATCGAAAAAAAGTGAAACGATGAGTAGGTTAACCTGTATCACTTTCGGAAACGTTAGACGTCTGTCGAAAGTTAGTGCTCCTTCTGGAGTGCGGCGTTTATCCGAGTAACTACTAACAGTATCTCGATGTTTAGGGAGAAAACCAAAGTCTCGAATAAATTTTAAAGAACAAGCTAGACAATTATCGTAAAATGACTAATCTGCTCATCTAGATTATTTTCCACTTCGAAAATTGATGTGTAAATAAGTGTTAAGACAAATTTGTATTCTTAGATACTACTAGTTATCCAATATATGTTACACTAAATTCCTTCCAGTTGGTTTAAACAACAGTACGAGATGAGAACAAATTAAGTGAGCATTGACATTTAATTATCTTTTTCTAATCTTAAACATCAAATCAACCTTTATCTACTTGTTCTCTATCAACTTATTTTCATTCCTTGGTTGTTTTTCTTTCTCTATATTTTTTGCGATAATGAGAAATGTGGCAACTTCATTTCATGTACTGTACTACTTGTCTATATATCTAGAGTTCACATTTGTAGGCCAGTGGTGTATGCAAATGATACGAACAAGATTTTACACACCAAGATACAATACCATATTGAAAACAGTGAGACTACAGTTTTCATTTTCAGACTAAAATAGTGTCACCCTTAAAGTGGAAATAGATGAATATAGGACGAAGCTTCATTTATAAAAATTCACTACAAACGGTCTCATACATTACAGTTGTCATTATGCATAAAATCCACTCCGTTTTTATTTTGTTATAACAATAAATACAGTGCTGATATACAGTTGGTTTCAGATATACTCATCTAAAACGACAATAGATTTTGTATTCAGATTGAAAGAGCTCAAGAAAACCAAATCTCATGCTCTAGTTTCATTTAAAAAATGTATATATTATTCATCACTATACTCTGTAACGTATTAGTTATCCATAAGACACTTGTTTTCAATAAAACAAGCACTAATTCGCTAAACCTACAAAAGATATGCATTGAATGAAGGTACGCATTTCTAATAACATACACATGAAATTTCCACAGAAGGAAATACAAACTGAGTTTTGTCTTTGATGCCCAATGATCTCCCTGAAGGTAAAGTTCTTGGGTAAAAACAACCACCGAATCACTGAATGAAAGACATCTACTATAATTAGTGAGCTATGACTCCAACCGTCCCTAAACTTTCAACCACTAAACTAAAATACAACATAAAACCTTTTATTAGGATAAAACAATGAATCATATCATAAAATGTCGGAACTGTAAGATTGCATACAAACATTACAGCCCTGAATAAAGAAAACCATTCATACAAATTGTATATTGTTTAATTACATGTCAAAATAAACACCTTAAAAAGGGTACAATGTAAAGTTACAAGGATGTGAAAAAGAACTGAAAGTTTAAAGATGTATGGTCCTCGAGCGACCACCGTTATGGGATTTCCCAACACCACTTTCGAGACAAGACATACGCATATCAATGTTACGTATCATTTCTGTGGCTCGTTCAACTTTGTAGTTAATAAGGCTTCGATAAAATAAAACAGCGAAGATCATGAAAAGGAGTACAGCAGGTAAAACAACAGTTGTTCCAGCTATAGCAGACAGACGACTAACAAACCAAAATTTAACCCAACATGCTAGAATTACTACAGCTAAAAACAAAATAATCCCAACAACAGTACTGAATATCCATGCAACTTCAACAAATCTGTGGAGGAAAGTGAGCAAGCAACATATAAACAAACGACAGCTTACGTTCGTAATCGATTGTGTGGTGCTTCTTCAGTCATAGAACCATCTCTAGGAACCGTGTACGAATCAATGTGTGGCAGAATACAAGTACTTATCATCACAGCCATTATATGCACAACCACAAGAAGGCATGCAAGAGTTGTGAAAGCAACCAGTAATGCTTCAGGTGGTCTTTCTACACCAACAACAACCTACACCATTTTTCTCTACAGTTATTGTGATAAAGTAACCTCTAATTCGATAACAGCGACCATAGCGAATCCCGCCAATAATGCTGACACTCGACTTGTTGCCTTCAGTTTTGCTCGACTCAGCTGAAAATGTCTCCGTGCTAATAAATATGAGTCTGATAGGAATGGAGATGTGACAGCGTTTAACGAACTCATTGAAAGGCCTAACAATAAAAAGAAACAAATTACGTATGAGATATTTATAAAGTATCTTAAACAAATTCTTACCTTACTGCGTAAGTTTGTGCGTGAGGCTTATTTTTCGCACAGTTTAGGTCTTCAACACAGTTTTACAGTAAACTGAAACTCATACGCCTCTCGTTCTCACTGTGATTATTATCGATAAGTCCGAAAGTGATAAATCCGATATTTGTAATCAAAGGTCAACCCAGTAGGAAACCTAAGGTATCCTAATACATGAAACTATGTAATCAAGATCTTAACAATTGTTAACAGTATAAACAGGAAACCAGTTTTATCGTGTTCACTCAGGTGAGCCATCACTATGACTAGTGAGTGTTGTGTCATCACCTCATTGAGAATTCCCATTGAAGGCCTTGCTCAAACCAAAAAATAGAAACGAGCTTGTGTGGTAATATAGAAAAACAGTACCAGGACCAAACATTACTTAATAGTATGACTAAAGATCGCAGTGACACTTGGTAAAAGAATAAAAGACAGGAAGAATATAACAATAAGACTTTCATTTGCATAAAACTGCAGTAACACATTCTTCATAAAATAAGAACGTGACCCAGTAATACGACTTGAAGATGGGTATTATAACAACCACTTTCAGTGAACAATAGGTTCTTGTTTAAATTAAACTATTCTGACAAAGTCCCCCAAGGTCTACTGTTTCTTTTGTTAGTTCAAATAACACCGTTATTAAAAAAAGTGTTCTTCTATTTCTCCGTAAATCGGATTAATTAATTATCAAAACCAGATGAACAGGATTATCTCTTACTCTCAAGTTACCACTGGTATCTCTTAAAGGCTGAATGTGATGGCATTTCGAATGTAAGGAAAAATTTAGGATGAATAGCCCAACATAGTTGATAAAAATTTATAAATTTTACAGTTCAGGAAACAGAGTAGAAAATGTTTAGTGGGAAAACAGGCTTAATAATGGACGACCTAGCTGAAATACTGATAAACACAAACAAGCGAAACGTTTCTTTAGCTTTTTGGCTCAGTCAAAAAGTTCACTAGTGATATAAAACTTGGAAATGTGGAAAGGCATAGTATTTACTTGCTTATCTGACACAGAATACATTTTTAAAATGTTTTCCTAGATGAGCTCTTATATAGATTATCTTACTGTGACCCAGGAGGCAGTTTCTAACTGGATTCCTACACTCCGAACTCCCGATCGAAAATCTGCCCTTATTTACTCTACCAAACAACTATTTAACTGTATTTCCTAAATTATTTTGCAGCATCTTATAACTTTCTAGGTCTTATTATTTTTGGGTGCAAATTCCGTCCGTATACCTACTTCTTCCTTTATACTAGCAAAACTACTATGGCTATAAACCTTCAATTGTTGTCCAAATCTGGTAAGGTCTGGTTGTTGCTGTTATTGTTTGAACTCGATTAACTGCAACAGATTTTTCATGTATCAAGCTGTAAGCCACACATCGTGTGAGATGGAGTGAAACTCTAACTCGCGACTATTGGCTGAAAATCAAGTGCTTAGGCTAATGACCCGTATACCCTGGTAGATACTCATGAGTAAAGATATCTTTGACACATTTGACGCTTCGCTCGAATAAACCAAACATTTCATACGACCCACCTTAAGGAAATACGATGAGAAAGTAAGACATAAGCACATCTCAGAATGTGTTGGTTTCTGGTACATCTTGGTATCTAAATAATTGTCCCCACGTAGTTATACTTCATAACTTTTAAAATGTAACTTGAGTTATCCTTGTCGAAGTTAGTTTTTTCGTAAGGTTTTTAGGACATTCTTAGTGAAGAATATTCATCTTAATATTTTGCGTCTCCTGTTTCGTTGTTTTTGGCGTAATTTTTGTTTCGCATTGAGTTTTTTTATATTCATAACTTTAAAAACCACTTCGTTTTTCTGGATGACTGCCACGAAAAACCACTGTAAAAGGAGAATGTGCCACTTCCCTGTAAACGTTGGTAGGCAATGTGATAACTGCAGCCGGTGGTTTCACGGTGTGTGCGCCAGCCTGACTCTTGCATATTACGGCTGCTGCAAACCCCTTACACACTGTGCAGATTGTTGCGATAGGACAGAACACTTTGTACAGACGGCGACTGTGATGCTGAATGCAGCACAACTCCCGGACAATACGTTTCTTATATCAGAGGAGGAACGACAACTGCTCGGACACCGATGATGCTGTTAACGTTGTAGCAGAGTTAAACAGTAGTCTCCAAGAGACCTAACTACCAAACAAGAGCTACAAAATGCCTAATTCTCCTAGACGAAAAGTAATAAGCGGAAGATAAGCCGAGTGAAATGTGAGGCTTTTCCCCACAGAAGATGAAACAAGACAGCTGTGCATGACATAATGACTTTGTCAGAATGCCCGAATGGAGGAATGCTGACTGCAGTGAACGTGATGTCCCCAACAGGCCAATCGTTTTCTACAAACTGAAGGGATTAAAATTATCAGCATCCAAGATCAAATTCTAATACGACCTTGGTATTACCAAACCTATCACAGACAAGAGGCAACAGCAGTCATCACCACTCATAATATGTACAGAATTTACCAAAAGGCTAACTCTGTAATAGATCAATCTGCACACCTCAAATCAACGGTGGGTCTCGAGACCAGAGAAGATGTAATACTGAGCAGTATTCACATTTGTAAAGGATCATGGATCGACAGATGAGATTTATACCTAGAAGACCGTATCAAAAGACAGTTACATGAACTGGAACTAAGTGTACGGCACCGTAATGGTCTGTCTGTTCCCGACATATAACTTTGCACATATGTGCGGCAGTTCAAGTCGCCACACTCCATGTAGCACACAAAGCAAGAGAAGAAAATAGGAGAAATGCATAATATAGACAGTAAACAGAGGTGTGAGACAAAGGAATAGTAATAACGAAGAACAATGTAGTTTCATTGGAAATCATAAGTCACAAGGAGTGGACGCATCTGCGCCACTGAGAACGATTTTGAGCCATGTCACCAATTGTTTCCAACCATTGGTTTTAACCGTCCCGAGGACCCCAACCAGGAAGTCTACACCTTCCTACGTGGCTTAGACTAACTGTTGTAGATTTCATTGACTGATGCCACGTTTTCGTTTGACCGCCGCTAGCTCTTTTCCACCCCGACCCTATATCAGCTAACATTGCCAGTCGAGGAAGGCGATGACTAGACATACGTAACACACGTCCTAACTATCTCAGTCGATGTAATTTCACAGTCTCGTCGACTGATTTCCCCTCCTTACCTAGCACTCGGAGAGACAATAACCTTGCAAACTCCGGCCTACACCTGAAGCCGGAGACAATGGAGTTAGCTTACAAAAATTCACTGTGCACAGAGCAGACAGATTAAGCCGCAGGTGCAGCAGAGTAGCGATCTTCCTCAAGAAGGATCCAGCTTTGCGTAGCATAGAAGCACTCGCTCACAAAAGTGATATGGACTTATATGCTGCATATCAAGATGCGAACAAGAAGACACCGTCCTGTGTTATACCGTAATGCCAACTAGACAGAGGGCAACTTTCTCACAGAGCAATTAGGCTCATGGACATCACGGAGTGGGTCTCTAACAGTAGATGACTTCAACGCAATCAATAGAAAGAATCTGACGGAACCATCAGAATATACCTTCGAAAATATGCTGGTAGAATCTTCCATCTTAATGGTTCTAGTACAGAACGTCAAGAAACCTACTCCTCTTGAACCTTGAACTTGATTTTCTCGACAGCGAGAATACGGACTTTATGCAACATCTCCCATTCCTAAGAAATGTGACCACATTGTGCTTAGGTTCATTGCTGCTACAGTGCTCAGTGGTAAAACCCAGCTCAAACACAAGTGTTGAAAGCCAAAATAAATGTTATCACTTCTGCAGCTTTACCTGAGAATTGGGCCAGAAATCTCAAACGTCATATAAAAGCTGTATGAAGTCAAACTAAGCTACTATACAGCCCTGAGTGATTTAAATCTACACCCTATGGACTGTCCTCTTCCTTCCATAGATATATCACCGTAAACAAGTTCCTGAACGTATTTGTCACCCTCGGGTTTTTACAGGTGAGGTAGCCGTACATTGCAGGTGGAAACAAAGCCACTCAAAGAATTTGTTAATCACGGATGAGATTCTAAATCTATCTGACTCAAAAAGCAATGAGATATGGCAAGGAATGTTTATACGTGAACCTGAAAGACAATACATCGTACGTAGGCTCCAAACTTACCAACGGCAAGATGAAGGGAGGAAAGTTAAAATATAACAGCCACTACCAAATGCCTCCTAAATAATCTTGGACAACTACTTACAGTGAAGCGACACTAATCTGGTAAGTTTGTTAATTGACTGTACTCAAATGCATAGACACCCTTGTTACTCCGTAAGTTCTCAGTGAAGCATAATAGATAACTCAATATCTAGACAAAGCTAAGAAACTAGATCAAGACAGAACTATGGATGTAATACATGTATGCCATTAGTGATAAATGATGTGACTGATTGCTTACGCGTCGTTCTAATGGTTCTTTGGCCGAGTTATAGGTGGCTGCTTTAGTCCCCAAAGGAAGGCAGCTGACGAGCATATACATCATTAGTAAAAGACTAACATAGGCTTCAAGCTTTCTATACTCAATCAAAAATCTCAATTGATATACACCCAGCTAGCATTTTCTTCGAGTGCACTGCAGAACGTCGGACAATGACCCGAAGCCTGCCCCAAACATTCTGCAGTGCGGCCAGAGTCAATGCCAGCTGAGATATATCCATGCATGCATGGTCTGAGGCATGATATTAGATGGTTGGAGGCAATCGGCCTGCCTGCCGATGGTGGCCACATTACAACCTGACTGATAGAATTCAGTCTGCACCAAAGAGAGGACTAGACGCATCACACTAGTTACTAGTGTCAAATCAAAATATGATCTGAGGCATACATATGCATATATGAATAGGCAAGCAACAGTTTTTACAAGAGATCAAGACAGTATACACGACACGAACACTGAATGGACTACCTGTGGACGACCGAACAGTGGTCACAGTAACAAAGATTCGGTACTTCTAGTGAGAAACACTGTCCCTTCAATATTCATTTAAGTTGTTCATCCAATAACATAAGAGCTACTGGACAATAAAAAACTTTGTAGTTCCACACAAAGTATAACTAAATAATAACTCACTACAAAATAACAGAACTCACAAGTACCAATCCACCGAGAAAGCAATGGATAGCGGCACACGATATAGGATAGCGGCACAAATGGCTTATGGAGGGGCTGAGCACTTGAAGGTCACTTATGCACACTGTGATTGGTAGAATTCCCTTTGCATTAACGTTGCGGCTAAAATGTAGTTACTGAGGCGGACCTTGATATGATAATGATAAAATCAGATAGAAATTACATTTTACAGCTTAAGGGAACAAGTTAGTATATGTATAAATTTCACAGATGTGATACATACACAATGGATCAACTTACAAAAAGAATATGTAACGGTAAATTAATCAAAGAGGTATAAAGTTTGAAAACTCAGTCTATTTCATGAACATATATTCATTGTGGTTAAGATAAGGAATTGTTCACCTGAGGTGAGATCAGTTCACCTTATATGTATACACTGAGAAGGTAGTCGAAGGAATACAATCTCGATCGTTGCATGGAAAGATCATATCCAGTTTCTTCTGAATAATCTGGTGATGATGAAAACTGCAAAGACTGGTCCAGTGCCACTATCATCTGAGGGAAACTGATCCACATCTTGTGGATAGAATAATTAGTGGACTTTATGTTGACTATGATGCAGCTACCCAAGCTTACTATAATGCTGAATTAAATCTCGCTAATTCCGGATAATCTCTAATATTCTGTGGTGAGTAAATTCTGATTCTATTCTGAAATGGTTTTTTTAAGCGCCCAGACTAGAACTAAGTGCTACCTTTCAGCATGACAGGCAATTATTCAGCACCTTATGCTTTTTCCAGGCATTTTCAGAAGTAGACGCATAGTTTAGAATTATTGTAAGCTTGGGGCCTTTATGGCGGTTATCAGTGACTTCGATCCCGCGGGGCCCAATGCATTTCTTGAGTTGTGGTTGAACCTACAATATTTTCTACTTCGATATTTCTCACTCATATAGTCTAGTATCCTGTGTTTCTTGTGAATTGATTGTGACAAGCTGTAGTGATAATGTGCCTCGTTAACGAAGCCTTTTTCTAGAATTTCATGGAAGGTAATCAGTGCGAGCGGAAGCAGCACATATGTAAGAAGCTGCGAACGCATTGGAAGACTTTCAAAAAGTGAGGACCTTATAAATTGCTAACAGTGACGACCTTTCTCACACACCAGCGTGGCTACGTTTACATGCAGAGGAAAAATCGGTGAGTGAGATATTGTATACCAGTGAGACAACTTTGTGGAACTTTCATCTAGCCTGTATGTTTCGCTCTAATATTTTTGTCCCTCAGACCACTAATAAAGTATTGTTAAACGTATTCTTGTGGCATGATTCTATGGCACAGTTAGTGGCAGTTAATAATATTATGTATGCGTAATATTCACGATATTTTCTGCACCATTAATGTGCTCCACATTTCGAAAGAGGTGTAAACTAGGATGACTGAATTTACTGAATACTAAAGTCATATGTTGTCATGCATGTTAATTACTTAAATGCTCAATTTATGTAACTGAATTTAATCTGTATCACTTTTAGGAATGACGAGTGGTAATGAGGTAATGAGGTCTGTCAGCTAGTTTAATTAAGTGGAAGTAGTTGCAATCGGATAAAGACATCCGAGAAACACTGACGAGTGTTTTACGACCTATGACCAGGTGCATTTGCATAATCAGTTGTAGGAATTGATTTTACATACGACAGCGAGGGAAGGGAAGTTCACTCATTTACTTATACCCATGAAGATATCCTTTATTCCAATTTGTGATACCGGATAACTTTGAATGTAGGTGTACAGATCTGACTGAATTTGGATACTGGACAGCTTCCGTCGAACAGTGGGCGATACTTCCCAAACGAAGACCTTCATCTTGCACTATGCTAGGCCAATATATATAAAATTAACTTGTTTGCGTTGCAGTGAAATAAAACTTCTTATCTGATATTCTTGCGTTCTATTCGATATTCTTACGGTGTGAGTACGGCATGCTACACCGGTACTCCTTAGGATATGAACTTGTTACTATACGTAAGTGTAATTCTGTACAAACACTATCGACCGACATAAGTGGTGGATTATAAGTACTTCAGTCAAGCCTAAACATCTGCCTAAAGTTGCGCGGTTACGTCTCCTAGCCATGAGCAAATCTGTAGGGACCAATTAAGAAATAATCTAACTTCTGCATTTGAAAAATAAGAATAGGACTTAGGCACTGCGGTGGGGTTCGATTTCGTATAAGATTAAATGCATTCAATGTAGTTCATTACTACTGTTTCACTTAAAGCCTGATGTCAATCCGTATGATTATGCTGCAAAATGAAGTCGAATAATTGAGTAGATGGAGCTGCGGCAATCGTAGTAATATTTCGCTTACACGGAATTATGCCACCAAGTACTTTCTCAGGTCTCATTGATAAGTCAGGCCTCCGTCTCGTCATGATGACAAATTTAGTTTCACTCAAATAGAATAAGAAAAGTATGGTAAGCAGGATGCTAAACACATACTTAATGAAAAATAATAACAAGCATATGTCTTGACGCAAATGTTTTTCATAATTTTTGTCGACGATGTCGAACTGCTGTGACCAGATTGACTGACGTTACCCAACATCCGCAAATAAGTGAGTAAAGTGTATTTTTTTAAATCTCTGAAGCTAGAAAAAAGTAATATAAGAGTTAAATGTCTTATATTTGCCTACATTTGCTGAAAAAGGTTCACCCTCCTTTCTAATTCTCTCGTCATAGCAGCATTCTTCTGTGGCTTTCACTGTCATACACATTGTTCATCTCGTAAAGTATATTTATGTAATAGATTACAATCCTGAAGTATCATAAACTAATACTTTTTCAGAAGTTTAAATCTTTCAATCATTGTGCAAGCAATCAGAACTGGTTATCATAAATGTTAAATTGTAAACCCTCCACTAAGGTCACCATCAACTTTGAGCACCAAGCCAAACTCCGTTCCATTTTCTGATGATGAACACCGTAGATTTTGGTAAGTGCTATGCCCTCACGGGATCAATAGTTATTTCAGAAGGAGAACAACGTCCTGCGAAACTGCGGAAAAGCATAAAATATAAATATGGATAACGAATCATTGAAAGTATACCTACAAGATATAAACGCTAAGTTGCTATAGAATCCTTGGAATGATAGTATACATTTGCAATGCTTAATGGTCTTATCACGGAAACCATGAAGTTTCCGATGAAAATATATTTTTTTTTTTGGTGTTTTACATCAAGGCAACCAGACTTTAAGCAAACAACAAATATGAACAAAGAGTAATTTTTAGCTTTAATAAAGGCCTAAGTAGTTAAGATAAAAAAGCATAATAGTGCGTGAATAAAACGCTTATCGTGAGGTGGATAAGTGATGTTTCAGTGAGGAGTGAATTCAAAGATCTGAGAGATTATAACCTTTAAGATGTCTCACAAATTTCCGTAGGGCCCTTAGGGTATTATTGATGTTTCGGCGCCATTCTGAGAGTGAGATGGTTAACACATCTAAAAGATAGTAATTATGGAAACTGGAGTAACACTTTCTATCCGTCCAGGGTATTTCCCTGGACGCAGTTTCCTATCAACAATTTGCAGTATTCCTAGTGATTTTATAGAGAGCTTGATTTCCTCTTCATTTTCATCAACTGTCCCTTCACGCACAGTGGCATGCGGTAACTGCATATACTCAAGCTTTGTAACCTGAACATCACAGAAGCCCTAAAGGTGACCTGTTGAATAATAAATTATTCTAAAAAGCTGAGTCATAAGTGCAGCTTCCGTATCCTTCATAGCCACAGGTAATTCCTGAAGGAGCTCAGAATATCTTAGTGGTCTGAAAATGAATGATTATTAGGACTAGCGTAACTTACGTAACAGGTGTACTAGTTAAGGATGCAGCTTCTATTCAACAGAAAAGCAATATTAACTACAAACACTGTTACATTTCAGAAGGACCATCCATAATATTGTTCTTGTCTCAGTGGACACTGATATCAAGGTAAGTTGGTGCCGTTCAATACACTAAGCAGTTGTGTTCTTCCGGAATTCCATGTAACGGCGCAAATTCAACTGGTAACACATCTTTGACGGAGCAGTTTTCACTAAGAACTTCAACAAAATGAACATAATCACCACGCAATTCAACGTATGATTTCATCGATGTTTTATGGAAGGCTTCAGTCATCATGGATGAAAATAAAAATGTTTAACCTCCTCAGAACATACATCTAAATTATGCTTAAGGGCTTATTCTCTCTCAGTTACCTGATTCTTATAGATTAACTGCTATGAAAACAACCATTGCCCGTAGTCAATTTACAAAATGAAAATCTAAAACAACTCGCAAATAACAAAGCTGTAGGGCTCTCAAACTAAAATAATAGTCATTTATACGCAAAATATCTTTAAATGCATGCCTTTCTTCGTAATCATTCATCGGGGATATCAGGACACTACTACTCATTAATACGAACACAATACATGGAAACATAGCTTTTTAGGCTGCAGAAGAATAAAACTACTTAATTATACCCCATTTTCACGAAAATAAAAGCTTATAACAACTCTAAGGCCATGAACACGATAGCCCATAAAGTGCGCGAAAATATATCGCGATAGCATTTATCCCCACCCGCCGTTACCTATTGCCTGCAGCTACAAATGGAGGCTGACTTCGGCACAGTAAAACAAATCTGCCTGGAAATGACTGACATTAGTCTGCACCGAGTATACTTCAATTCTGATGTTACTTCCATTCAATACATACTTGGGGTTTTTGTTAATGCGAAGATAATATCAATATTTTCTTGATGTGCTCCATTGAATCACTAGTTAGCAGACTGTCCCATTAAACTAAAGATAGAATAGACTGCAACCATCTAATTCCACCATAAACCAAATTTATGTGATTTAAATAAGACCTATCCATGCCTGAACAACTGGTATGTCCTACATAGATAGGAATAAATGTATTATTATTTATTATGTGACCTGCCTTTATGCCTGCATAGTTCTTCACTAGGTTTCATGCTGTTTGATGGGGTTATCACAAGGGAGGTGTACGGACGACTGTGGTGGGCCCTTG